GCGTTCAAGGGATTTGTGATTATCTTGATGCAAAAGGCATTACTTATAGCCACAATGACATTTTTCGCTTTGCCGGAGTGTCGAAGCCTTCCGGATGGGCTCCTTTTTTTGTGGTGGTGGGGAATAAATTGCGGTCCAGACTTTTTTCCGGATACCGTGGCGGGCCACTGCTTCTCGAACGGGTCCGGCCGCGCACGGCTGGCAGGGTCAGGCTCTGTTTGGATATGGCAGATATTCTTGGCGCTCGGCTAGCGTGGTCCAGGGTCCTTTGGGGGATCCGGCGGGCGGAGCTGCGTGCTGAGCCACCGCGTTGAGGGACCCCGGCGCTTGACTGATGATGCCTTGGTCCTCGTCAGGAGCTAATCTGGTGGGATCTTGTGCGATAAATAAAGGTGTCCGGCCCTTGGCCGAGGCTCCAAGTTTATTCGAGACTGGACGTTCATGTTTCCGAGCCGAAATGCCTCTCTGGTGCCCACGAAATTCTGCCTTGGAGAATCCTCCAAGAGCAGGCAGCACCACCTGCGAATTCGCCCCCTTCTGACACAGAGACCGCGGGCAAAATCCTGGCTGTGCGGCTTCATCCTCCTCCGGGACGTTGTCGCTCAGACGAAAGCAGTCTGGGAGATTTCCCTAGTATTTACTGTGTACTGTCCACACCTTCAATACAACCCGTGCGGGTGGCGCGAAATGAAGCTCTCGAGATCTTGCATGTTCAAACATCGTCCCATCGAATGCCGGGCTACCAATCGCCCACCAAAAAAAGACCCCCCCGTCAGAAGTTTCGTGCTTTATCCAAAAAAGAACAGACTGGACAGGCCCGAGTCAGGAGTCGATGGGACCCACGGACCCTATAGAAAAGGAAATAGGCGAGTCAGTTGGTTGAGAGCCGCAGCTGGAGATGCATGCCGAGGCTCCGTCGAAGTGGAACTGCCAGTCCGCTGCGACTGCCGCCAGCGTTATAACCTGTAGGACTGCCCCCGACCTCCAATCAGAAGCGGGCTTAGCTCAGTTGGGAGAGCGTCAGACTGAAGTTACACTTCGGACATCAAATCTGAAGGTCGTGTGTTCGATCCACACAGACCGCAATCTTTTGTTTTTGCTTTTATTGTATATCGTTCCTGAGCGTATGGTTTGTGTCACCAGGTGGTTGGTTGAGTTAGGTCTACTTATTTTTTTTATTGACAGTGACAGTACCCACTAGGTAGGACGCTATCATGGTAAATCTAGATTGTGTGGGTATTCTTTTAGGCCTCAGTCCAGGTCGTGAATCATATCCGCCCAATCGGTGTCGACCGCGTCGAATCCACCCGAGATAGCCACCGAGACAGCCGCATAGGAGGCCCAAGCCACAACAGCACTAAGGAGAATGTTCATGCCGTCCATTTTGCTGGCAGGGCTCGGTGCTTTCTGTATCTGGTGGCTAGGCTTGCTTCTCGGCTGAAAAGTGATGTAACTTGGTGGTGTCTCTGGGTTGACGGTATGGAAGCATCATGAAAGTGTGAGGGTACAAGCTGTATATAAATACAGACCTGGGAACAAGATCAAAAGGGAACAGAACAACCACTGTGCTTTTGTGTTCAACCTGGCATTGTCCCTTCTCACTCTCTTCTCTTTATCTCTCCAACGCATGGCATTGTGCTTCTTTCGTTGGGCAGTGCCCTTTGTTCCGTCCATGCCATTGAAGCAGGCCGGCCAAAGAGCCGCCCGACCTAGGGCGCGGGGGAAAATACTCGATAGTCAAACGTCAGCAACAGCAGCCGGCAAACGACGCGGCCGCATCCTGCCCTCCGGCGTCGTCCTTTGGGGGAACGGACGCACCTGCGGAGCGAACCAGGGCCCTGCAGGCAATGCGGCAATCTACTTGCGGCTGAGATTTAGCCTGTGACTGGGCTCTCGAATGCAGTCTAGTGCGGGTGGGGATGCTCTCCCCTGTCACTGGCCCAAAGGCCCTGCCCAGAAAGCTTGTATCATTGCATGGAATTGCAGCGCAATACACTGGTGGGCCAATAAACGGCAGAGGATCTGGCTCCGAGGGCGATATGAATTACGTTTTTGGGGTAGTGGAAGCCCGCCCCGACGGTGTGGCCCGGCAGTATGAGAAGAAAAGGCCTGGCCCAGCTGAGCTTCGGTCAACAGGGCGCTAGGTCTGACCCCCTGATTCCCAATACCGGAATCTCATGCCGGGGTATCGTTTCGGGGCTTGAAGGGCGGCCAATGGCATCTCCCTGTGATGGTAATCATGGACAAATGGCGCAGGCCGCTGGGCAATGAAGTCGCTGTATCTTCACGAGGTGCATGAGTGGCTTTTCCCAGGACGCCCCTCTGGGGCACAGTGGACGGGAGAGTCTGCTTAGCGTGCTTCCGACACATGGCTCGAGGGCATTTTATTTGCGCTCCGTAATATCGCCTGCCGCTAGTGGCCCCGTTTCCGGAACCGCCTTATTCCTTTCTTTCTTTTTCTTTTTCTTCTGATGTTATGGCATGGGACCCCGGGGCTTTCGCCTCCCCTGCTCGCGCAGAGCACACGCTGCTATGTAACACCGGCCCACCACGCCTTGGGGGGGATCGTGGCCAACACCACACCCGATGCCACGCCGTCCCAAACGCCATGTTGAGTGCAGCCGGCGCGGTTCTGCTGTTGCTGCTGCTTGTGCTGGCCACGGTCTTTGACACGGCCGTTGCCTTGGGCCCGGCGTGGCTCCCTCGGGATCCGCGTGATGGGTCCGGCGACGGGGCTGGAGGGGGCCGTCGCCACCTGCTCTCTCGACGCCAGGAGCCATCCGGAAACGGATTCCTTCGGGCGCCAATGCGAACCAAGCCCGTCGGGGACACCGCGGCCGGAGATGCACACGGGCTGCTGCCCAAGAGGTGGAGCTATTCTGGGATCGGCGGCGGAGCAGCAGCGGCGCTGGGCAAGCGAGAAGGCCGGACGAACTTGCGCGAGTATCGGGGGCTGGTTTATCTGATTGACTGTGAGTTGACCGGACCTCACCCCCTTCCAGGATCTAGGACTTGGATTGTCTCGAGCTAACACAGGCCCCGCCGGCACAAACACAGTGAAAATCGGCTCGCCGGCGCAAACGGTATCGGTCATCGTCGACACGGGCTCGTACGAGCTCTGGGTGAGCCCAAACTGCACACGGTCGGTCGACGAGCAGCTGTGCCGGCGGACGGGCGCCTACTACCCCGGCCAGTCCAAGACGGCCGACCACGTCGGCGGCGGGCGGCGGCACCTCGTGTACGGCACCGGCGAGGCCATGGGCGACTACTGGCTTGACACCATCGGCACTGCGGCGGGCCTCGGCGGCGGGCTTCAGGTGCCACTGGTGCAGTTCATCGTGGCCGACGACTCGGACTACGCCTTCGCGGGGGTCTTGGGAATGGGATACACGTACCCCTGGACCACGTCGTACCCGTACACCCTGTTGCAGATGATGTGGGCGTACGGACTCATCAAGGCGCCCGTATTCAGTCTCGGACTGGGGGGTGTTGGGGATGGCGAGAGTGAGTTCTTTCCTTGGTGCTGTCCTTGGCTGCAGTCGGCCTTTTCCCCCAGAAGATATGTCACCATGTGAAGGGCAGGCAGGACTGATACCCGTTTCGCAGGCGAAATCATCTTTGGCGGAGTCAACCTGTACAAGTACCGCGGACAACTCCAACCGGTCCGCCTCTGGCCGCCCATCGAAAATCAGGACCCGAACTGGCTGCAATACTCGGTCAACGTGACGTCGTTCGGCATCACGCAGCCGGGCGACGCGCGCAGCGACCCGCTGACGGCCCTGGCGCCCGCTGAGGGCGGGCCGCTGACCGGGACGATAACGACGACGACCATGATCATCGACAGCGGGTCGACGCTGAGCTACGGCCCGCCGAGCCTGGTGCGCGCCATCGCGGCGCGTTTCAGCGGCACGCGCGTCGACGGCGCCGGCAACGTCTGGGTCGACTGCGCGCACCGCGACCAGCAAGGCTCCATCGACTTTGGCTTCAACGATGGGAGCCTGACCGTCAGCGTTAAGTACAGAGACTTTATCTGGATGCAGTACCCCGGCGGTTGTCTGCTGGGGATGCAGCCCGCAGACGCCGGCAGCACGGATTATGTGCTGGGGGACACGTTTTTGAGGGCCGCGTACTGTAAGTTTCTGTCCAGCTTCTGCCCCTGGTGCTGTTTGAGTTTAGGGCTACGGGCGTCTGCTTACACTAGGATCCGAATCCTCAGTGGTGTTTGACCAGGAGACGGACATCGTTTGGATGGGTAGCTATAGGAACTGCGGTGATGGCGTGGTCCCGGTGGGCGACGAGTACGCGGACACGCAGACAAAGATGGGCCGGTGCTGATATCACTTGAGGCCATGGCGGGGCGTAAATGCCATGCTCACATTCACTCGTGTTACCTATAATAGACCTGGGCTCGCGCCAACCATCACACATCAGGGGCCCGCATATCCTCGCTCAACGGGCCCTGACGGGTCCAGATGTTCATGCCGATCTTCCAGCCCTTGGTCACGGGCAGCCCCGCGTGCAGGTTGCGCGCGTCGCCCACGCCGTTGGGGTACAGGTTCTCCCAGTACACGGCGTTCCCCTCGACGGGCCGGAACGTGGTGCCGCTCTCCCAGGGCTCATCGCAGTCGATGACGCCGTCGGGGCCGCACCAGCCCCCGCCCCGCGGCGGGTCCACGAGCGGGAAGTTGGTGCCGCCGCCGATGATGCCCTGCTTCTCCTCGCTGCCTTCCTCGGCCGGGGTCGTCGTCGAGTTGGAGACGGCGACGTAGGCGAAGAAGGACGTCAGCCGGTTCCCGCCGAGCGCCGGGGTGGCGTGCTGCGGGTCGGTGAACCAGTCGGTGTGGAAGTGGTAGCGCTCGCCGGGGCCGTACTTGACCAGCTGCAGCGGCTCGAGGTGCTCGCGCGTCACGCCGTGGCCCTGGAACGCGAGGGCGCGGTCCTCGATGCAGCGCACGACGGCGTCGCGCGACACGCTGGTCGAGCGCGAGGTGCGCACCTGGTGGATCGCCTTTTCGGCGTCGCTGCCGTCGTTGGGGGTCACGCCGGAACGGGTGAAGGTGTTTTTTCTGGACGCGGGTGCCGGGTCAGCTTGGAGGTAGCTTGTGGGGAGGCTAGTCTTGTCCGGGCTTGTCCTACGTCACGTCTTGGAGGTGTTCCCTCTCCTGCGATGTGATGAAGCCGTGCAGGTAGATGACCAGCGGCGACTTGGACACGATCTGGACCCTATAGGGCGGGTGCTGGCACTCAAAGTAGCTGAGGAGCGGCTTCTGGACGACGTCGGTGGACGCGGCGGTGGGTGAGGTCAGTGCGGCAATTGCTGCCAGCAGCGATATCGCCCGTCGCGCAAAGCAGCTCGATGCCATTTTTGCCTTTGCTTTTGTCGGTGACGAGAGTTTCGTCTCACATGCCTTTTGGGCTGGTCGACAACAATCGATCGAGAGGGATTGAATGTGGACGACGAGATGCTCTCCATCGAGTGGAAGCTTGAACCCCTCCACTCTAGACCGTTTTGGTGTGGGGCCTCCAGCTGCCGACGAGCCGAACCTTGACCCCTGCATGTTTGGTTGTCGTTCCACCTGATGGCTCCATCGGTGAGGGGAGAGGTGTTGTATGTACCCAACAGGCAATATGGGATGGGAATCGAGGCCGTTCGAATGTCGCCGACAGTGTCGTCAGCATGCTCAGCATCGAGATGTGTCGGCAAACAGTTGCAGAGGGAAAGTTTTATTGATAAAAGTGCCCCTTTCAGCTGTCTTCCAATGTTGTCTGTTTACTTGTTAGTGAAGCTGGGTGTCACACGGGACACCGTCGGGGTAGGATTGATTGGCTCGATCGCCTGCGAGAGGCAAGCGCCGGGCGTGCGAGGAGGGCCTCCCGCAGGGACATATTAGACAGACCTCCTGCCCCGACTCCTCGAGGGAATCCTGCTTCCTTAAGCATCCCTTGAGGCCCTGAATGATTATCAGCTTCAGTCTGGATTCATCTCCCAAGCCTGCATTGCACCCTTGTAACACTGGGTGTCCTGTTTACCACTCATTGTCATGAGCCATGTCACAGGCCGATGCTGCCACGAAGTGGCGTGTCAACGAGATTGCGGACCGTTACTTGAAGCCAAGCCAAAAGGCGAGAATAAATCATCGATTCGCCTCACTAAATGTCCACAAGAATTGGCTACTCCTATGGACTGGCGAAAACTATGACCGGGTCCAGAAATATGCCAGGAGTCGCAATAAGCAAACGCTTTCCATCGCCCTTGGGCCCCTTATCGATCCCAACCACCCCGAGTTCGCTGTATCCACGTCGTCAAAGAAATCTAAGCGAAATTTCATGCATGGGGCCTCGGCACTATTTGCCCAGCACATCTCCAACCATAGCACCGAGGTAGCTCTACTCTGCCCGCCACCACCGGTCATGTTCAATCCCAACGGGAGGACCTACTATCAGGACATCGAGGAGCCCATCATCACCAAGTTCGGGTTCAACAGGAATCTTAGGATATTCGCTGTGCATCCGAGCGTGAAGGAAGCATCGGGTTTCTGCTACGAAATCTGGCCTACGGATAGGACATATGAATGGCACCAACGGTTCCCGGGGGCGTACGTAAAAAAGCAGATATGGCGGTCAACAAAGCCTCTGAAGTGGTTGGAGGATATGGATGCCGTCGAGAGGCGTTTCGGACTCGGTGGCAGTATCGACGCAGATGGCTCTGGCGTCCCTTGCGAGGCGAAAAAGGAGAAGAAGGGGAAGGAGAAGAAGGAAAAGGAGAAGAAGGAAAAGGAGGAGAAGGAAAAGGAGGAGAAGGAAAAGGAGAAGGAAAAGGAGAAGAAGGAAAAAAGGAGAGAAAAAGAAAGGAAAAGGAGAAGAAGGAAAAGGAGGAGAAGGAGAAGAAGGAGAAGGAGGAGAAGGAGAAGGAGGAGAAGGAAAAGGAGGAGAAGGAGAAGAAGGAGAAGGAGGAGAAGGAGAAGGAGGAGAAGGAAATGGAGGAGAAGAAAAATGGCGTGACCGCGACAACAACCACCCCTGCATTGGGCTGACGCTAGGGCCGCTACCCCGCAAATCTGCCGATCCCCGCCGATGACGCTCAGCCATTGAACAATGGGTTGACTGCGTTGACGCCTTTGACCTTGGTGACCTTGGCCTTTCACTTCACTCCCAATTCTGATTTATTTCTCCTTTGCACCTTGACATCTCGAGGAGGGAGAGCCTGGCGTACACACCAAAATGAAGCTTCCCACGTCCTTGTGCCTTGTCGCGAGCCTGGGAGCGGGCTCGGTGCTTGGCTGGAATCACGTCACCGAGGCGAGCTTCCGGAAAGCCCTGCGCTCCAACGAGTACACCCTGGTAGCTTGTAAGCGCTGCAATTCCTTGATGGCATCCTTCCGGCGATTCTCTGGCCTTACTGACACCCAGCCTGGCTGCTTGCAGTCGTAGAGGTACGTCGACTCATCTACCCAGACGGCAATTCCCCGCGCCCCAGCCGAGAGCCGATTGATTGACCCGCCTCCAACCACAGCCGTCGCAGTGAGATACACCCCCCCAGCTCCTCTCAGGCCCCCCTGGCGACAGGAGGTAGCTGACAGCGAGACCAAGACCGGCGAGCGCAGCTCTGGAGCCGGAATGGACCTCGATCCAAGAGACAGAACGAGATAACAACGTCGTCAGTCTTGACTGCGGCGCCAAGCGCAAGCTATGCGACGAGTTCCACGTCATCTCATACCCGGCCATACGCCTTTACCACCAGGATGGGAGGATGGACCGGTATAGGGGGCCGCGTAGAGCCAAGGAGTCAGTACAACCAGGGAGCTCTTCCATACCAAACATCCTACATGGCTAACAAGGCAACGCCCACGCGCCAGGATCGTCCCCTTCCTCCGCCGTGCCCTCCGCCCGACTGTGTCCCGGCTCGACGACAAAAACATAACGTCCTTCATCGGCGTCGACGACGTCGTGCTGGTCGCCCAGCTGCAGCCGCAGGACCGCGTCCTGGAACAGGCCTTCGTCTCGCTGGCGGGCCGCTTCCGGGACCGGTACTCGTTCGCCGTCGGCCCGCCGCCCGAGCACGCGCGCTCGTCGTCGGTCGGGTGCTTCAACAACCGCGAGGGCGAGCAGCGGTCGTCGGCCGAGTTCGACGCCGTCGGGTCGCTCGAGCGCTTCGTGACCCTGTGCGCCAAGCCCACGATCGTCGAGCTGACGAGGCGCAACGAGATGGAGAACATGCAGCTGGGCAAAAGCCTGGTGCACTACTTTGTCGCGTCCGACGCCGACCGCGAGGCGTACCTGGCCGAGATGCGCCCGCTCGCGCAGAGGTACCGCGAGTACCTCCAGTTCACCACCATCGACGTCGGCGAGTACCCGGAGATGCTGGCGCCGCTGGGGCAGGCCCCGGGGGTGAGCAAGGGGCTGTCTGTCTTCAACCCCAGCAATGGGGATGTGTTCCCGTACAGTGGCGGGCAGGCGCTTTCTGCCGCGGTGGTCGAGGCGTTTCTGATGGACATCATCAGCGGGAAGGTCCAGGCGCTCGGGAAGGGCGGCCAAGGCAGCCAGAATGCCGATGCTTCTGCGGGAGCTGCTGCACCTGGGGGCGGCGCGGGCCACGATGAGCTGTAGACTGCTGCGGAGGGTGCAGGTATGTTCTGGTCTGTACTGCATATCTCCTTCCTTTTTCCGAAGTGAGGTGCCTGCCAGTTGTCAAAGGCCTACCAGTTGTCAAAGCCGGTCATGACTTCCTAATATCATCTCTGGGAGGTACATCATCAGTATATCAACATCAATTGATATTTTGGTCTCAATTTTGCGGTTCCAGTCTACCCGTATCCCCTCCACGCCATCCTAACAATACCACTGCTATCCGCATATATCTTTTACTTAACATCATCAGCTGCAAGTTGCTCCACAGAAAACACCCTCCAGAACCTCAGATACATCATCTAACCGCTAATCATGAACAGCTCCAGCGTCAACAGCCATCACGAAATCTCGCCGCAACACGATGACCTACAGCCTCGTCTTCAACGTCGCCGGCGACTGCCGCTACGCAGGCCGATCCGACGCCATCGGCGCCGCGGCCTGCGTCAGGAACCGCCGCGCGCAAGGCTGGGACGTGGAGGAGATGACGATCCCGCCGCACCCGACCCCGACCCGCCGGCGCGCCAACCTGGCCGCCGTCATCCTGGCGCTGTGCTGGGCCGTCGACACGTGCAAGACCCAGAAGGCAGTCCCCGCCGCGCGCCGCCACAAGGTGCTCATCCGGTCCGACTCGCCCGCCACGGTCGCCGCCGTCGAGCGCTGGCTGTTCAGCGACGACAACGGCGACGACGCCGTCGGCCCCGCCGCCGACCGCGACCTGCTCTACCACGTCGGCCGGCTGCACCGCATGCTCGGCGCGCTCGACTGCGTCACCCGCTACGCTGTCGTCGAGCGCGAGGCCAACGTGCTGGCCGCCGTCTTGGCCGCCGGCGCCCTCGACCGCGAGGACGAGGGGAGGCGGCGGCTCGCGCAGGCGCGGCTCGAGCGCGCACGCGAGGCGCTCGAGAAGAAGCTGGCCGAGGAGGGAAGGAACGAGGAGGCAGAGGCTCTCGAGAGGGACATTGTTAAAGCCTTCGCTGAGATGGAGGCGGGTGTCGCCGAGGGGATATAGGAAGGAAACGATTCCTTGCAATCATAGTAGGCACCTGCAGCCGGGACTCGGGAGGGAGCATGTGTTCTTGAACTGGCTTCAAGGAGCCGAAGGTGACGGAGAGGCGGAGCAGTACCAGAAACCGTTGGGTGTCGGACAGAGCGCTGATCGAGGGGCTACGTTCTTTGCTGGTTGATGGAGGTGTATATTGGCTTCCTAGGTCCTGAGCGAGATTCTGGTTACTTCCAGTCCAGGAAATTGCAAAACCCTAGGCGAAAACAGCGATCACATATCATTTCGGATAGTCCTGTCCCTGGCAAGATGTGACCGGGGAGCAGGAGAAGGACGCGCGCTTCTGCAAAGAAATGGGCTTGTGTCCGCCTCTGAAGTGGAGGGAACGCCCCGGGTGAGGATGTCTCTGTCAAAGTATTGACAGTTTTGCAGAGCGGTATACTGAGTGCGCCTGGGAGTACATGGTACAAACCAAAACAATGAATAGCCCGCTCGGCCATGCTTATGAAGTGCGCCCAAATGCGGTACCCCTGGGCATCATGGTTCAGACTAGTGTGAACCATTCAGGCGTGGTCCCCTTCCTGGCCTCGAACGCTTTGCCGTTCATGTGCCCCGCCAGGTAGCACTCCCCGACCAGCGAGTAGGCCAGCTGCCTAGGAGGGAGGCAACAGTTCTGCTCTGGTGAGGCGCCCCCGGCGACATCGCCCGGCTGCTCACGCAGGATGAGCGGGACGTCCCCGCCGTATAAGAGAACAAAAATGTCGCCGGGTCGCGTGCCCGTGGGACACAGGCCCTTGAGGGGGCTTTCCTGGTGGGGATCGGAAGCGGCGTCAAGGTCCGTGGCGCCATATAAGGAATCTACCGTGCGCCGTCTATAGTAGGCATTGAAAGCGGCGCTCGGGTCCGGGGTATTGAGCTTTGTGGGCTCCAGTGTAAAATGGCAGTCCGGGATGTGATCGAAGGAGTCATATATGCGCCGTATCCGGTGCTTGATAACCTCCAGCTATTGTCTCGGTACCGTTTCTCGCTGAGACCAGGCAGTATTCGCCTGGATGACGGAACTGTTATTCCAGATCCCCAGCTCTCCAGTCGGATCAAAAACTTGCACAAAGGCGGACATGGTATCCCCGAGTCTCTTCAAGGGGGTTGGATCATCTTTGTCGAATATCTTGTTCAGGAAACCCGAACCGTAGCCCCGCGGTGGCTTGAACCGTCCCAAGTCCGCAACCTTCCCAACAGCCTCTCCCTCCAGGACTAGAAATCTTCCGCTGTGGCTCTTCAAGTGGCAGGTCTTCAAGTTGGCTGCAGTGTCTCCCGCTGCGCAAGACATGCCCATCTCCAGGCCAAGAGTTTGAGCTGCCCATAGAGAGGTGTCGCTATCGGGTATGGCCCACGAAGGGGCCTTTGTCTCGTTGTGACCTTGGCGGGACTGACACTCATGCGTGGGCTCCAGAAACCCCCGAGGATGCGCTTTTATGTCCCGCCGTGTTCTCCCCGTGGCGGCATAAACAGCCGATAAGATGCCGAGCTTTTTGTAGGTCTGGTTCCACTAGTGTAGGACGGTAGGCACAACGATAAGTAAGGGCGCCGAGGGCTATGTTCTGAGATGACTATCCTCTCGCCGCTCCACCCGTATTAGCACTGCAATATTGCTAGTGCTCTCCCGTGCCATGGCCATTTCTTGTTTATCAGCAAGGGTGCTGCGGGAAGTTGGGGTCGCTTCACAATCAAGGGACAGAGTGATAATCGGATATGTATCAAGAACATGGAGGAGGTTTTGGTTCGGAGGGGAGGGGAGGGGGGTATCTCCACTTTCTGAATGGGCATGGGGGCAGGCAGGCAGGCACTTAGTTTCTTATTCATCTCTCGTCGGCTGGTAACCTAGCGTCGTTGCACCATTAAACAAATACCCCATGGTTACGGCCTGAGCATCACTGGCTGCACATGTGGTGCTGACGGCGTGTCTGTGCGGGTGGGTGGGATCTGGCGTAGAGCGGACGTCAATATTTGATGGACTGCGGCGGGTTGGACGGTGTGGAAGGCGAGTCCCGGGCGTTTGGCACAACTCATTGTATAGTTTTGCGGGGAGCTATAAACAGCTATCAACATGGGGAGCCATTCAAAAACCTGCCTACGTTACTCTCGATCTTAGTCGCGGTAGCATTCTGCACGTACCTGGGCACATATGTATAAACAGCATCGTCACCTTGGATCGGTTTACGCGTGTGCAACCCAGCCGATCGACTCCACCTGTTTGCCAAACACCAAACATCACCCCCCGGAAACCTCCACTGGCCCTGCGACCCTGCTATAATTATCCTGTCACGGGCCTTCCACCGAGGCTCGAATCCTACCTTTGGCTTCTATTAATCGCCCCAAGCTTCCCGTCCAGATGGAGAGTCCAGATCCCGAATCAGTCGGCTCCGTCAAAGGCTCGGACGACCAGTTCCCTGCCTCAGCCTTGCAGCAACAGGTAATGCCCGATTTGGGGAGCAGATCGTTCCAGACCCAGCGAACCGAAGAACCGACTCGGTAACCCGGTCTGAGCGCAGTCGAATCTTTTGGTTTGACGGTCGTGTCATCTACCCGCCTTGCGAAAAGCTTTCTTCATCCCATCCCGCCCCCTGCCTTGATCGTCAGGAGGGGGAAGACGGGAAAATGTCCGCGAACCCTCCACATTACCGAGGGCTGGCGCGGGCCCCATCTTGTTGATCCAAACAATGCCATATTTAGCGTGAACTTTGCACGGCCTGGCCTTTATTAAAGATGCGTCTTCTGCTGTCAGTCTACCTGAAGCTACAATGTCGCCACCTTCCTCCGTCCCCCCGCCCTCACGGTCTTTTCCTTTGTAGTATCTCCAACGTTCAACATAACCGCAGGCTCGAATATACATACTTTGTTCATATACTTGTTCACAACCCACCAACACCCGGCAGCAGCAGCAAACAAGACCCCAGCCATGTCGGTCAAGATGACGTACCGCGTCGACAGCTGCTGCCGCAAGCCCGACCGCGCCTCGGCCACGCCCCTGAGCGCCGCGACCTGGGTGCTCGTCGCGCTCGACCACAACGGGCGCTCGTACCTCCCGTCCCTCAAGATCGGCACGCGCACGCGGCTGCTCCCCGCGTCGCCACCGCCGACGGACCGGCGCGCGGAGCTGGCGGCCGTCATCCTGGCCATGGAGAGCGCGCTGCGCATCTTCTGGAAGTTCGCCGAGCGCCTCCCGGCCGTGCGGTACCCGGACGTCACGATCTGCTCCGACTCGGCCTACGCCGTCGTGTCGGTGCTCGAGGCCTCGGCCTTCGACCCGCGCGGCGCCGCCATGGCCGACCGGCCCAACCGCGACCTGCTCGCCGACGCGCGCCAGCTGTACGAGCGCCTGTCGGGCCTGGGCATGGTGCGCGTCCGCCACGTGTCGAGCGCCGAGAACTGGGTCGCCGACGCCGAGTGCAACAGGCAGCTCGACCGGCTGCAGGCCCAGCGCGACCGCCCCGTCGCGTCGTCCCGGAAGCGCCTGCTGATCCCCGCGGGCGCCGGCGTCGGCACCGCCAGGAACAGGACCGCAAAGGTCCTGACGCTCGACTCGCCCTCGGTCCTGCAGGTGTGGGACCGCCAGCGCGACGTGGACGTGGCGCCCCTGTCGCTGCCCTTTGTGGCGCCCCTGCGGTTGAGCGCGAGGGCGTTCTGAGTGTCCGAGGGCCTGGCGGCGCGGGCAAAGGCGGACACATCACGATTAAAATGTTTTGGGCGTTCATTGGGGTGGATGGGAATGGGTCGGTTGGGGTTTGGGATGGGTTTGGTGCGGGTTTGGCGTTGATTTAGCGTTATGATTTGGGCATTTTCGAATTAGTCAATTTACTACATCCTGTGACACCAAGACTCCACGAAGTTTAGAATTGTACTAATACCGCCCATCATTCTTCTCTAGTCCTCATCCAAGCATGGCAGATCTTGTCCAGCTAAATCGGCATGCAAGTAACATCTTAACCCAGCAAGTGTCTGTCTACGGGGATGGTAGCCTAGCGATTGGCATGTCTCCATACGAGCCTGGCTTGTCAAAACATCGACAGGCCTACCTCGGAGTTGGCCAATGTCATGCTCAGAGCTGCGATGGCTCCAGGAACCCTGCCGGGGCCATGAACAGGTTATAGCCGACAGGAAGATATGTGGGATTGGGGATGCATGAAAGCAGACTAGGCTATCAAATGGACAACCAAAAGGCGAGAAGGTATGTTGCAATCCCTCGTCATCAACGACCCGCTAGGGCGCCCCTACAATGACACTAAGGCGCTCTTCAGAGCCCTGCTTGCCGCGCTGAGCCTGGTGTCGGTGTTCCCCGGCTTCGAGGTCGTCGACTGTATGATGCCGTTGGGAGCGCGGTAGACGCTGGTATGGCCGCGTTCCAGTAGCTGGTGCAGCCGGGCTAGAACGACAGCTGGCACGACGCGGTACTACAAACTTAGTTCGCCGTGGGGGGCGGCGCGGCCTCGCGGGCCCGCTAGTGGCGCAGGCGACGCGGACCGAATCGTGCTGCCTGCCCGCGATGACTACCGGGTACCTAAGTGGAGGGGTACGTACGTGGCGGCAGCATTCACACCACGGTCTGGAACTACTCGCTTTGCCGAGGACCTGGCCCACACGCCTTCTGGTGCTGGTGGCGTGTCCAGACCGAGGTGCGTGGCATTCTGCTGCCCGATGAGTGGTACCCCGTAGACAGGAAGTCAAGTCGTCCGCGCTCTGGGCTGGCTAGCCTGCCGCAGTCCTCGTGTGTACGAGGTGCATTTGCCTTGGTGAGCACCATGGGGCGCTGGATGTACCGTGCTGACAGTTGCTAACAGCTGAAAAGGCCAACCTTGCATCGCATGATGGCGAGTGCGGTTAAGCTTAAGGGCGTGTCGTTCGATATTGACGCCTAGCGCCCTCGCGTAGGCGATGCAATCTTGGTATAGCAGATACTGAGATGTAAAAGACGGGGGCGTTTCCTTCTCGAGTGCTTCCAGCAGCAACGACCCCCTGAAAACCTTGGCGGTGAAAGCCCACATTGCCCACATCGCTGGGCTCCTGGATGCGTTCCACGAAGCGCTCGACTCGAGCACTCACTTCACCGCCACATCGCCTTGGGGGGGGGGGGAGGCAATTTTATCGGCTGCGAGCCGGGCGGGCGAGCGGATCGGCGCCGACAGCCGAAAGACAACAAGGAAAATCTGGGGGAAGGGCGGACGATCACGCGCAGGCTCGGGCCGGAGCACTGATCTTTGGTCATCCGTCTGATCATGGCCGTAAATCATGGACCTGTCATTCATGGCGACGAACAAGGGGAGGGGAAGAGACGCGGCAGCCAGAGTGGCGGGACCTGTCGCAGAAAGACGGGCGGCTGACAGCGGCCTCGTGTCAGGCCTCTCTCTTCCAATTTGGCCCAGCGCAAGAGACAGAGAAAAACAACCGTCATTGCGGCTCCAACAATCCCGGAAACCGCTACCACTGATTTTGGTCCAAATGAGGGCGCGCTAGTCCATATGTAGGCAGATGGGTCGCACTTGGCCCGCAGGACCGTTGGCGCTAAGGCCGGATTGGTGCAGGCTAGCGAATGATGCGTCGGCTAGGCCCCCGTTTCAGATCTTCGAGACGGCACTGAGACGCCATGGGGGCCCACCCCGCACTTTTTTAGGCCAGAAGCTTTGGCAGCTTCCAGGCCCCATCGTCCGATTTGTTGTCTCGGCCTTCCGCGGCCGCAGCCGCCTGTTTTTTTTTGTTTTTTTTGGTTGAACGTGCGTTGTTGGCTGGGGCTGCCATGCATTCATTCCCTTTCGATTTTCTCGCCAGGTCAAGACGCCGCTAGACATGACAGCAGTTCAGTGCCAAGCATGTCTGCCACTTCGGCTGGCACCCGTCAGAGTCCCTGTGTGCGTTCTGGCCCGTTCAGAGAACGCTCCAATACGGTATAGTACCTCTGGGTAGTATCCTCGTAATACAACCCGACGCCTACCACCCATTTCTGCAACGCCTCGGCGCCCCCCAGATCGATCTCCCCGCCGCGCTGGGCGGCGATGCCGAGCGCCGTCGGTGCAACGGCACCGCACAGCCTCTCTCCAGCAGCGCGTTTTATCACACGCCCGTGGCCTGTGTCATGTTCGACCAGGCAGGCACCAGCCTCCAAAAAAAAAAATCCGCACACGTAAACAAAATGGGCACACTCTGAAGTCAATTTACTCACACCAAATAATAGCCAGTGCCTATTTTTTTTATATGGAATTTAATGGGTAGTCATTTCCCCTTCGCCCTTTGTAATTTTTGAGAGGATCCGAGGCGTGTGTTATGATAACGAGGCATTGCAATCAATTGAATTGATTTTCTGTAGAGTTTGGGTGGGGAAAAATATAACGTGTGCGGATTTTTTTGGAGGTTGGTGGCAGGACAGCGAGGGGGGAGAGGAGAATGGTAGGGCGGCCGCCATCGCCCTGGCGGGTAACCTCTGCCGACCTGCGTGTCGGATCTGCGACCAGCACTGGGACCCCCCTTGCACATTCAACGTCGCCCCTGGGTCGAGGGGTCCTTTTCCTTTGGCGAGATAGGATCTGCGAGCAAGGAGGAGGCCCAGAGTCGCCGGGGTGCCCTACCCCCTTTTTTCCGTGCTGGCCCACACAACCCACCTTCCTCTCGCCTAACCGTCGACACCGACTTTGACAATGCCGTCGTGAGAGGCGACCAGATATAAAAGACGGGGCGGGAGCTCCCTTTGTCCCCCTCTCTCGTTCCTGTTCCTCACTCCGAGCCTCCAATTCCAGCCTTCACCAAACCATCTCTTTTTCCTGGTAACTTCCATTCTTTTCCGCCGGTCGGTCTTTACATCATCAAAACAATATTTTTTTGTTTTATTTCAACCCCCACAAAAAACCACCCACAAACTACCCCCCCAAACGGAAATCACCAGCCAAAATGCAGATGTCCCTGACCACCGTCCTCTTCGGCCTCGTCGCCCTGGCCGCCGCCATGCCCGGCGAGCCCCTCATGGCGCGCCAGAACCAGGGCCGCCCCGTGCCCCAGGGCACCTGCTGCGTCGCCAACACGTCCCTCAAGCAGGACTCGTGCCAGGCGGCCGGCGGCGCCGGCAAGTGCGTGCCCGGCGGCAACGACTGCGGCAGCCGTCTCAGCTGCGTCGCCCAGGCCAACCTGGTCTGCGACAACAACGTCAAGGAGCGCAACGGCAACCTCTGCCGCGCCAAGGCCGCCAACAACAAGCTCTTCGACGGCGGCAACCTGATCGACAGCCTCGGCCAGGCCAAGGTCAACTAAGCTTGTGTGTGCCCCCCACGCACTTGCTTGCCTCTCTCGCCATCGAAGAGCGGATGACGAGCTTCGGTCGATTCTTTTAAGTTTTTTTGGTGAACGGCTCGGAAGGAAATTTTAATACAATGGCTTGATTGTCGACCCAACTGCTTCGTCTCTGCCGTGACCTAATTCTCCCCTGGTTGTGATCAAATTTGTTCTTTGTGTATACCAAGTTTCCACCCATCTTCTCGCCATTTCCCTGACACCACATTGGGCAGTTGACAGCAGCTCTGACTCCGCTCCGAAATTAGCCCTTCTTTCTACCGTGCTGCCTCTAGCTCACTGAGGTCTTTTCCCGTGCCAGGCCGACGACGGGGCGGCAGATGTGCGGAGACATGCAGTGTGTGCTGCCTAACTAATCGCACTGGACGCTCTGAACCGAGAGCCAGCGTTGGCTGGTGAGGAGAGCAAAGCCTTCATCCCACTTGAAATCATTCTGACCGCCCTTTTTCACCAGGACTCTGCATTTTTCGTCGCTGTTTTGTGCGTTAGATCGGTGCGTCAACACTCGTCGCCTTGGATCGGCCCGGTGGTTGCGTCCGTTGGGGGCCTTGAAGTGCTCAGGTAACGAGCTGAGGATTGGGCCCAAAGGGCTGGGGCACTTACGCGTAATAGCGGCACTGGTCGTTGGTAAAATGCTTGCCAACCTGTGCTCGTTTGCAATTTCCGAGGTTGACTACATGTGCCAATTGCTTCGGTTAGATGATTGCTTCAAACGAAGGGCGGGCTGCGGGACATTATGAGAAGCAGAAGAGTACTTACCACAAGCGCCATCAGTGGTGACGTTAACCATTCTCCAAGAGCCATCTAGGGGGGACGCCTTAAAGGCGACGGTGTGCACATGCGCAGCCTCTGCAGTACCGAGCAGGAGGCTTGCAACAGCAGCGAGCTGGACGACAAAGACACGAAGGACAGCCATTGAAACTGGTGAGAGTCGGATCTTAACAGCCTGAATTATCACTTTGGAGTGCGTGAGTAAGACTGGGAATGGCGAAGGGATCACGGATGGCTGGGGGAAAAGAGGTGTTCAGGTAGGCTGATCAAATAGTAGCTGGTCGAGCATTTATGTAAACAACCTACAGGAGGCCAACGATAAAAAGTCTCCCCTTGCTTTAAACTACACATTGAGAACTACAGCGGGGTCTTGATCGAATACGGCTCAATTCCATCCGCGACTCAGCAAAGACGACCCATGCCCCGACGGCTAAGGCTGACAGCTTGGCGTCATTTCCTCGTTCGGCAACCAGTGGTCCATTAGCGACGCACAGTTACACGCAGAAGGGTGCCCGATAAAGCTGAAAAATGGGAAATGGTTCGAAAAAAATCAGCGTGGCTTGCATGGCGACCGTTTGTCGTTGCCAGGCATGAAATTAGCGTTTTGCCAAGTTTCGGCATACACGCGAGGTGTCATCGGGTCGAAAAATCCGACTCGATCGAGCACTCACGTCAGCCCAAGCCCAGTCTAGCCTCCCGTTCGACCTGGGTCAAGTTGGCCGTTATCCCATCGTCAAGGACTGAAGAGGAAGCAATGAACCCTATTATTCGCTCATTTAAGCGCGGTATTGCTTTGCATAAGCAGCCACGTTTCTTAGTCAAACGTAACTGGACGTGTTAGAAAATTGCGGGGATAGGCGCCAAGAAGTATTATCGGTCAGGAAGACGTAGACCCTGCATCTGAGGTCTTTGTCGCTCGCTAAGGCCCAAATACAAGCATTCGGTCCAATTATTCGCTCCCTTTTAAGCACTGCCGCTCGGCACAACCACTTTGATTGCCCAGTTGAAGTTTAACCCAAAGTCTTGCCAAATTGCGGGGATAAACGCCAAGTCTCACAGTAATCTCAGCTCGAGTCAACCTAAACCATATCCTTGGAACATGCGTCGAGCCAAGCCCGCTAGCTTACCGTTCGAGCTTAGTCGGGTTAGGTTTGTCTCTCGCCAAGGGCTGAATAGGGCTGAAGAACGGGCCATGAAGGGTGGTGGGTGTTCGCTGCGACAAAACACCGCCGGGGGCTGGGAGCAGCCATATGGAATTGTTTTGAAAGGCTTTTTTTCGCACCGCCTGAGGCGCCCTCGGACGCGCCGACACCACTTGTTTTCCCCTGTTCGAGCGACGGCTGGACCCGAAGTCGCTCAAAGGCTCAACTTCAGTCGCTCAGAACGTTATTCACGATGGATTCCTAATAACCTATATAATTATCACGGCGCAGACTCCCTCATCGCTACAACTTTGCTACCATCACATCTCCAGCTCATAGAGCCTTCGAAACTTACAGCCGGTCCTCTTAATTTGTTTCCCCTTAGGCCTTTTCCCACGATTCTTCTGTCCTCGGGATGTCTTCCACTCTGGTCAAAGCCGTGGTGCTGGGGGTCTTCTGGTCTCCGCTCCTGGCCGCACCCGCTCTCGCCGGTCCAGCCGCCTTCCCCGGTCTGCTCATGACCCGCGAAGATGCGTTTTCCCCGGACATGCTGCCACCCGACCTCATCACCATTGGCGATGAACCGCCTGCCCGTCCTGCCCCGCGGTGCGCGCGCCCCTGTGGCCCGCACCAAGTCTGTGTCAACTCCGTCGCTTTCGGTCCCGTTTGCGCCGCGAACAAGAATCTCAACTCGACTTCGGCCCCGGCTGCCCGCTCTCTCAGCCCCCGGTCCGAGACGCTGCAGTCTCGTAACCCGCTCATTTTTGTCGCCGAGCACTTTGCCGGCATGGCGCTCGACATGGCTTTCGGCGCCATCGTCGGCGGCGAAGTCGATGTCGTTGCCGAATTCGAGAAGATCGCGGAGAAGATGGTGGAGCAAATCAAGGGCATCATCAATGAGGCCCTAACCGCGTCCTGGGAGGCTCGCGACAAGAAGTGCGCCCTTAACATCCTTCAATCCATCTCGGAGTACGCCCGCACCTACACCAGCAACACGGACAGCAGCAATATTGGCAACGACCTCACCACCATCAAAGGAATCATGGGCGACAATGAGTGCAACGTCAACCTGATGCTGCGCAACTTGAACGATCCGGCGTACTCGGTGCATGCCACCCCGTTCTGGATTCTCATGGCGTCCGCTAAGCTTGGGCTGGTGAGTTCCATCTTCAACAAACCTCTTGTGACCCGCATGGCTCGTCGACGAGTGCCGCACACCGCGATGACACATCTAGGTAGCCCCTTGCTAATCACCTTTATAGTGGCAAGAACGCATCTTTCTTCAATCCCTCCTGGTCCCTCTTTGCACTGTCCCTCATTGCGCCCAAAACTTGCAAATTTTCAAGGATTCGTACAAGGCCGATGCGGCCGCCTTTTACGCAACACTGCAAGACACTTTCTACCGGAAGGCCTATTACGCGATGTTAAACACGGGCGGGGCTATCCTCTACAAAGATTGGGTGGATGAGGATTGCATCAAGAAGAACGCAATTGGCGTCTGCATCGAGTACGACTATGAGGTAGCCTGCCACGGGGATTATTTTTTCAACTGGCCCGGTCAAGCAAGAGAGGTTGTATACACAGTGTCGTCCCAGGCGGTACGCTCTAGCGAGGATTCGGCGAAGAGTGCCTGTTGGAAAGACCTCGACCCCAAGCTTCTTTCATTCAGGGACGAAGCCTTTTTGCACTACCTCGTCCTCAACTCCCGTCCGGGTACGACGATTCTCTCGCCTGAGTACAACAACATTCGATCTCTGTGGCAACATATCGCCACTAAGGGCACCCACGAGGGATGGGTGCCTTGCGCGTCGAACATCACGCCTTAGTCGTGCCTTTCTGTGTCACACGGAGGCACCCGACGATACTTGAGAATAGACTCAACGGCTTGAAGCGGGGTAACAGAGTGCCGGATCAGTAGGACCAATCGTTGAAACAGGGCGGCCAATCGGCCCTACGGCCTGACTACACTGCAAAGCAGGTCGAGCTTGTTTGCAATGATATGAGCAACATGTTTAAAAGAGAGGCTTGAAGAAGATCTATCTAATAAAATACGACGGTTCGTACGAGTGTCGACTCGGCTACGCGGCCATAGGAGAACCAGGTGCTCTGCTATGCTGTCGCTGTCCCTAAAAGCAGTGAATAAGAAACTCAAATAACGATTGTAAAAGGGTGCGAGTAAACTGCGGCATGTAGGAGAAAGGACTCAATGGTGACGACAGGGCTTGCGAGGAAGAGGGCTTGGTCTGGTGACAGGCGAAAGCTGTCGGGAGAGGGAAACGAGAAAAACGTGGGATAGCAAGGGAAGAAAAGAACAAGGGGATCTAGTGAGCTGACAAAGGGACACGCGGGGTCAGGCATGTGAACTCCCTGCGGTAGCGTTCTAATAATGGAGACAGTAGAGCACCATCGTGGATCAGCCGGATCTGTAAAGCAGCACCGGATGCAGATGTCTGGTATGACAAGGCAACCTGCGGACCGGCGTCGCCATATGAAAGTGCAGGTCCGCGCTTGTGGCGCAAGAGCCGCTGACAGGCGATGAGACGATGGCTATTGGGCAAGACGCGCCACAGATGTCGCAAATCCCAGCGCGACCATGTGGAGCCAATTGATAGCACACCTCCTGCTGCAGTGCCGCAAGTCGATGATCAATGACGATCAGACAACGTCAGGGCGTGAGCCGAAAGTGCTCCGGACGTTGTCCGAGACCAGATGATGCGCCACGATCCCAAGTTCTCCACTTTCCACGGCGCCTACCTCAACGAAAAAGTCAAGTTCGATTTGCAGAACACCTTCCTCGAAGAAGAGACGGAAGATCAGCTGTATAAACTGTTCGCCCACGTCAGCATTACCCGCGATCCTCGAGCGAAGCGTGACATGGTGCCAGACGAGGTGTGGGCGAACCTGCCCCCAGACCCTGAAATGGTCGAGTTGGAGGAGCAGCGAGCGGCGCTTAAGCGGGGACAATATCCCCAGCCGGACGCACGTGTCATGACCGCCCCTTCTCCGCGTCGCCCTCGGAGGCGCCTTTGCGCAACACCAGCCTCGAGAGCGGGGCAAACACCTTTGCCAGGCCGGCGTAGGCCGGCACAAAGGGCGCGACCACGACGCCGACCACGCTCTCGAACCACGCATCCGGGAACGAGCGCACGACCATGGCCCAGGGCAGCGAGAAGAGCGGCAGGACGATGCAGACGGCCCACTGGGCGGGGCCGATGGGCGTGACGCTGAAGACGGCGCCGCCGACGAAGACGATGGCGACCTGGCAGCCGATCATGAAGAGGTTGATGCAGATGAAGTAGGGGTTGCGTTGCAGGCCCTCGAACATGTTGAAGCCGTTGTCGAGGCGGCGGCAGTTGAGCTCGTTGAAGATCTGCATCCACACAAACGTGTTGAACACCATGGTCGACAGCTGCAGCATCTGGTCGCGGTTGGACGGGTCGAACCCGAAGATGCGCGAGCCCGCAAAGTAGAGCGTCACCGTTACGGCCAGCTGGAAGATGGACTGGCCGACGATCATCTTCCACATGTTCATGGTGATGAGCGGTGCCGCCTTGCCTTGCGGCGGTCGGTTGAGAATACTGTCGGTCGGGGGGTCTGTCGCGAGCACGATGCCGGCGAACGTGTCCATGAATAGGTTCACCCACAATAGTTGCACCGCAGTCAGCACCGACTTCATCTCTGGGTGCGTGACGGCGCTGACAAAGGCCAGGATGACGGCCGTGATGGACACGGTGATCTGGAACTGCAGGAACTTTTGCACCGAGTCGTTGACGGCGCGGCCCCATTTAAGCGCCACAATGATTGAGCTGAAGTTGTCGTCCATGAGCACAATCTGCGACGCCTCCTTGGCCACCTCGGTGCCCGAGATGCCCATCGAGAAACCCACGTCGGCCGCCTTAAGCGCCGGCGCATCGTTGGTGCCGTCGCCTGTAACGGCCACCGTCTCGCCGAGCGCCTTGAGCTTGCGCACGAGCACGCGCTTGTCCTCGGGCGACGACCGCGCCAGCACCTGCAGCCGCGGCACCACGGCCGTCATGTCGGCGTCGCTCAGCGCGCGGAAGGCCGGGCCCTCCATGATGACGCCGTCCGTGTAGATGCCGCACTCGGTCGCGATGGCCTTGGCCGTGACGGCGTTGTCGCCCGTGACCATGCGGACGGCGACGCCCGCCTTCTTGGCCTTGGCCACGGCCTCGGGCACGCCCGGTCGCACCGGGTCCTGGATCCCCACGACGCCCAGGAACACGAGCCCGCGCAGCAGCTCCGCCAGCTTGACGTGCCCGTCCTCGTCCGCGTGCACGCCCGGCGGCGGCCACGACGGGTAGTCGCGATACACGAGCCCGATGGTGCGCAGGGACCCGCGCGCGTACGCTTCGATGGTCGCTCGCAGGGCCATCGTGTCCGAAGCGGTGAGGTCCGTCACATCGAGCGCCTCCGCCGAGAACGAGGGGCCCGACACGCCGGCCTTTTTGTCGCAGTACTCCAGCAGGATCTCGGACGCGCCCTTGACGAGCAGACGATACCCCGCGCCGCCGCGCAGCCCGATAACAGCAGCCATGCACTTCTTGGCCGAGTCGAAAGGCATCATCTGCACAACCCACTCGTTGGCTCGCGCCTCCTGCACCGACTGCAGGCCTAGGTGGTCTCGCGCAAGCTGCAACAGAGCCGTCTCCGTCTTTGAGCCGATGAAGGTGGGCTGCCCGTTGTCGTCAGTACCCTCGAATGCCGTCGAGTTCACAGCCACCGACTGCACAATGGCAGCGCGGGCGGCAGGTGAGATGGAAGACGACCACTGGGCGACGTTCATGGCCGAAGAATCTGAATCCGAGTCGGACGAGGATGGGGTAGTGGCGCCGCCAGGCTTGGTGAACTTTGTGCTGCCAAAGGTGCCGGCGACTACCGTCATCTTGTTGGTGGTCAGGGTGCCCGTCTTGTCGGAGCAGACAGTCGTGGCGTTGCCCATGGTCTCGCACGAGCGCAGCACGCGCACGAGGTTGTTTTCCTTGAGCAAGCGCTTCGTGGCGAAGGCCAGGGCGAGGGTCACGGCAAGGGGGAGGCCCTCGGGCACGGCGACAACGATGACGGTGATGGCGACGATCTGGGCAGGTCAGCACAGACTCAAAAGGGGCATCACAGATCACCGGCAAGACATACAAAGATCTCGAGGAAGAAGGAGGCCTTCTCAGACGGCTCACGCGCATCGTTGCCCAGGTTGGCCAGGAATCGGAAAAGCAGGACGAAGAACAGAAACGAGGCCGAGCTGACGGCCCACTTGGAGATGTTGACGGCCAGGCCGGCGAGCTTGACCTGGAGCGGCGTGGGATCAGCCTCGATGCGGATCGACATCATGATCTTGCCGAAGCTCGAGTGGACGCCGACCGAGGTGGCGACGTATGTGCCAACCCCTTCGAGCACGCGCGCGCCCGAGATGATGAACGGGTCCAAGTTCTTGGCGCGTGTCCCGGACTCGAGCATCCGCATCACCTGCTCGCCGCCCATCTTCTTGAGCGCGTCCGACTCGCCCGTTGCCGAGGACTCGTCGCACTTGACGTCGTGGCCGCTGATGAAGATTCCGTCGACGGGAGCCACGTCGCCTATTGTTTGAAAGCGACATGTTAGTCAACCACACGTGAGGGTGACAAAAAGGGGGCACGCTCAAGCAATACATACCCGGCTCGAGCTGCACCACATCACCAACCACAAGCTCGGCCACGTTGATGAGCTGCGACTTGCCGGACCGGATGACCTTGATCTCGCGGTCGTCCTTCTTCGCATTGAGCCGCACAAACGCGCGCTCCTTGTTCCAGTCCATAAGCCCGCCGACGACGACGACAATGATGACGGCGATGCAGATGGCCACACCCTCGACCCAGTCGACCCGCACCTCGTTCGTCTTGTGGTTCGGGCGGAACGTCTCGTACAGGCCCAGCGCCAGCGAGATGGCGGCCGCCACGCTCAGGACGATCAGCACTTTCTCCTTGTACGCCGCCCACATGAGCTTGTAGATGGGCGTGGCCTTCTTGGACGGCAGCACGTTCTTGCCAAAGACCCTGGAGCGGTCGGCGTAGCGGCCCGCAGCGGCGGCGGCGGCGGCATTGTGGTTGCCCGACTTCTCGATGCTCTTCTGGGGGAGGCCGCCGCCGCCGACGGCCTGGTCGAACGAGACGCGGAACGGCGCCGCGGTCTCGTCGACGCTCAGGCCGGAGGCGACGTCGGTCTGCAGGCCCTTCTCGATGCCCCTGAGGCCGCCGAGGGCGCGGAAGGCGTCGAGCGACTTGGGGTTGAGCAGCTTGCCGAGCTGGCCCGGCGTGAAGGCGAAGGGGTTGTCGCCGGCGACGGTAAAGTCGGCCTCGGTGCCCGGGTCGGGCCGCAGGGCGGCCTCGACGTCGACGGGCACCGCCACGGCGGTTGCCAGACTGGAGAAGCTACGAAGGGACGGGGTGGCGAAGGGGTTCTTGCTGTGGCTGTACGAAGTTATGCTGCCGTCCGGGCTGGCGGTGGAGGCGCCGGTAAAGGGGCGGATGGTGGTGGCGTCGCTAGGGCTGCGGCCGTGGCCCGCCAGCACGACCGGCTCAAAGGGCCGCGGTTCGACAGGTGAGTTCTCGTCGATCGACTCCACCGCCTTGTTGAAGATTCCGGGGACCATCTCGAACAACTTGGAAGGAAGGAGGGAACAGGGGGGAAGGAGGAAGAAAAGAATGGAAGGAAGCCCCGGGACCAGGAGGCGGCCAGTCTATGCAATAGACCGGGCTGTTGGAGAGATGGGTTCGCGCCGGCGACCAGGCGGCGATCTCAGCAACAAGCTAGAAGAGAAGGGAGAAGGATGACCCTGGATCGCGACTCTATCGACAAGATCCGTAAAGTTGGCGGTGGTGACCCAAGGCTCACCCCAGAACACGGGCGCATGGGCTGGCCATCTTTATATGAACCCACAACATAGGTACATACAGACAGCCGGCGCATATTGCTCATCTCATGCATGCCAGAAAACAAACGCCCCCGAGGTGGCCTGACAACCTTGGCATCCCAGAGGCAACCCGTGGCCTCCCCTGTCCCCCGATCGCTTGATGGACGCTTGCCTCGCGTGAACCTTCCCCGGCGGCGGTAGTTGGGGCAAGCTTTTCCCGGCAGGTTCCAAGCGCACGGGCGGCTGATTGGGCAACGCCCATGTGCCATATATGTGTGGGTAGACACAGAAGGAGGTAAAAGGGAAAAGGCGCGATGCGACTGATAGTCGATCTTGGCTGGGAGGCTGTGCAGTTCGAAACGGCAGATTTTTCTCGACGCGGACCACCCCCGAACAAACCAACCAACCCTGGATCCTCGACCGCGACATCGGGACGGGGTGAGCTTAAACTAAAAAGAAAAGTGGTAGAGAGCTCGGCATGGGGAGGACCCGACATGGCGGCTCAGCCTCTGATCACACCTTTTTTTCGCCGCTCCGGAAAGCTTTGGAAAGCTTCATATTTGCCAAGGCTAGCTTGACCTGCCGTGGTAGCATTCGATGCCAAGTCTCCAGAATACTGGCTTCGCTCGCCAGGGGCCCGGCAAAAAGAGCATCCGGCAAGGTCTGCAGGCTGTTGTTGCCGCTGCTCCAACGTTCGCATAAAGTATTTCGTCATGAGGCCGATTAACCGGGCGCGCGTGTCTGGGGGGCGAGGGTCGATGCCTTCCTGGGTAGACGACACAAACACAACTCATTCCCTCTCCCTTCCTTTGTTGTCCGCATCGCAGGGTTGATTGCCTCTGCGGTGCATCGCGCCTGAACCAGTGTCAATCGTGATTGCGGCTTCCATCTGATTGACTAATTGAATCAATGTAGCATCGTGGCCGGCGTTTGATGAACGTCGCGTGCACATGCCTGCCTTGCGCGGTACCCGGACGGCAGGGAACAGATCAAAAACGGGGAGGCGGATTGGTAAAGAAGAAAGTTGATGGTGTCATCGAGAAGCACAGTCCGGAGAAGGTCGAAGCGAGGAGGGTGGCAAGGCCACCTGGTGCCCGTTTGAAGAAGCAAGCGCCACCCCCCATAAGGCTTGGCGGGTCGCGCTTTCCTACCCGGACGCTGTCTCTCAAACGCACGGGAGAGCTCCGAACCAGGGGCTTTTGTTTGCCGTTCCTGGAGTTCGAGACCGGATCGACAACAGACACGCGCCACCTCCCGGGCCCGCGCGGGACTGATTGTCGCCCAAAGTGGCAAGCGGGAGATGCGACGTCACGCGCCGGGCTGGAAAACCTGCAAACCCAACACAGCTCCACGTGGCTTAGACGTCCGCCCTACCCTCGTCCCTCGCGTGCGCTTTCCCTCCCAAGTGGAAGCGGGCCCCGCCTGGAGTGGAGAGGGCCCACGCCTCGAAATGGGACGGTGTCTAGAGAAACATCACGACCCGCACCATGGGTGGCCGTGCTTCGCTAGCCTTTTTCATGGGGCAGCAAGCGATATCGTGGAAGTGCTTAAACAACGAGATGTGCTGAGGAAAAGATCGCAATTACTGCCAAGGCCGGACATCCACCTCTCGGGGGTGGCTTGTACGGACCAGAGAGATTCCGTAGCTTTTGAGGTATATATCGCTACCGTCATTTCTTACGCTAACTGTTGTTTCAAGGCATACCCAAGGATCTCCCAGTCTTCGCGGTGTCGTCTGTCAAAAGCTCCCATCCATGCAAAACCACCTGTTCCCTCCTGACAAACACCATCTCTGGTCTTGATCGATTATAAGCCATATTGAATAGCCGGATAGCACCGCTGTTGAGTGTTGCTGATACATCCTTCATGAGAAATACCTGGCAACACCTCTGTCGAACATGCCCTCCCCCTCAGGGCTCGCGCCACCAGAGGTAGATATCACAGTCTCTCTCGTCGTCCAACACGATCTCCTCGTAGAGCACCCGAAACTTTAGCGGTTCTTGGAGGAAGCCAAAGCCGTCCCTGCAGGGCGAGCCCATGACCAGGGACTCGAACCCGTGACGCTCGCCGGCCTGCTCGTACATCCTATCGTAGATGTCCTTGAGCTGCTCCATGGTGGAGCAGCAGCCGGGGTCGACGGCCTGGAACAGGACGTAGGCCGGTCCCGTGGCCATGTCGACGACGCCCTCGCGCATCAGCTTCCGCAGCATGCCGTTGGCCTTTCTCCAGAACCTGAGCTCGGGCGAATTGAGGCTGCGGCCCGCCTTGAAGCAGACCTTGGAGATGGGGAGTGCTGTGCCGCGTTTGCGTCAGTGCCTTGGCGGCGTCCATCCGGCACACTGGCAGAAACAGATAAAAAAAAAGACAAGACTCACATCTGGGCCGGATCGTGACAAACGTGGTCAGCCTCCAGAGCACGAGAGCCCCGACGATCTCTTTGGTGGCCTCGGACCTCGCAAAAACGAAGGCCAGCGACGCGTCGTCGATGTCCCCCCTTCTGTCGTATCCCAAGAGGCCGGTGACCAGGTCCGGCGTGGGGTTGTGGCCGAAAGGGACGTGCCCGGCCAGCCTCCCCACCACATGCATAATATCTTCACCGGCCTCGACTGTCGACGAGAAGATGACAGGGACGCCTCGGGCGTCGCTGTTCGAATACACAGCACTCTCCAGGGCCGCCGGTGAGAGGCTAATGGGGGCGCTTCGGGCGTTGCTGTTCAAATCCACGGCACTATCCTGGGTTGTCGGCGGGAGGTTAACGGGGACACCTCGGGCGTCACTGTTCGAATCCCTGGCACTCTCCTGAGCCGTCAGCGGGAGGTTAACAGGGACGCCTCGGGCGTCGTTGCCCGAATCCATGGCTCCAACGGTCTGCGTGACGGCGGATGGGTCAGGGGTTCTGCCAGTGGTGTGTGTACAAGATAGCAGCTACTTGGCAAGACGTGCACCGAAACGCCGTGGCAGCGCGCGCCTAGATAAGATGATAATGGTCTCGACGTCTGGGAATCTAGAAGGCTCTTGACAAATTTGAGCCGGTCACTGTTTGTTGTCCACCACCCGTCACTTGGCCAACAGCGGCATCATGTCACGGAAGGCGCGTGAGACTTGGAGCAGGTGGCACTTGGAGCGGGTTGACGCAAAGGGATGGACCGCTGTTACCGCGCAAGTGACACGGCTGAGAAATCCATCATCTGTGCTCGCCCTCGACTTGTTGCTCCAGCCAATGCCTTTTCTTCGCCGCCATCCGACCGGTGCCCTTCCTCCAGGTTGCTTAACATTGGTACGATTTGTTCTTGCTGTGTGGGTGAGATATATAACTAGCAGTTTTACCGACAGCACAAACGGCGGCCGGAAATGTACGGGCACAAAAACCTAAAAAAAGAAAGTCGAAACTGCTGAAATCGGGATTCGAACCCGGGTCTCTGCCTTCTACGTAGAAGTGGGAGGGCAACGAGTTAACCACTACTCCATTCCAGCTGGGCAATTTCCGACATGACGGCTGGCTGGTAGATTGTGATTTATCACCAGTCGGATTCTCGCCGCCGTTTGCCCTCCATTCTTTGTTCTTTGTTCTTTGTTCTGCCCTGCGGGCTGCCTTGTCCTGTCCACTTTGTTTTCCGCGTCTGCACCTTCCCTATTGTCGTGCCATCCGGGCGGGCGGGAAGCCACAGCACAAGCCACAGTGCCTCCCGTCCTCTGGGCTGGGATTGTAAGTCCTGCGGGCCTCTTTCTAGCGCCATGGGTTGGCCATGGGTTTCGCAGGGGAGAACATCCGGGTGATAGAGAGGTGCCTATTTCTAGGTACCTATTGCTTGCATTACTATGGGCACCCACAAGATGACCGCAGAGCCGCAATGCTCCCGTACTCTTCAGTTTAAGATTTAAACGCCATTACCGGGAGCCACTTGCTGCTATCTACCTGCCCGCAACCTTGTAAGGATGTCTACATCACGTGGAATGCTGTGCCTAGGTGTGGCATTGCAGCGATAACATCAGACTGCTGCGTCTGTCATTTCTACAAGCCCCACTCCCCTACACCAAAACCAAAAACGAGCTCATCCGTATTGGTCTAGAAAGGCAACAGCAACAGCTTGCGAACAAGAATTCCATGGGTAGATCTGGGAAAGGGACGAGAAAAAGACAACAAAAAAATACAGCCAAGGTCTAGCGAGGTTCCCTTGCCCATGTGCAGGGCCCAGGTTCCGGGTTACGAGGGCGGCTCTGCGTGCTGGCTGCAAAGATGCGAAACCTGTCCTCTCGCTTCTTCCCGCCATTCCCGCACGATCTGCGATGGCGTTGGCTGCATGGGAGGCCATATAGCTTTTGTTCACCGTTTTCTTTCTCCTCCAGGATAACGGTTACACCTCAAGCCTCCGTTCCGGCCAACAGCGTTCAAATACAAAACACGTGCACACACAAACGCCTTCCCCGCACAGAACGGTCCCCGCCTCCAACTTTCCTTTATTTCCCCCGCACCCGAGGCCAGACTGCAGGGGGGAGTCGGCGAACCCAGATTCGCGGGCATGCGGGTTCGAAAGGCTGGACCTGCCAAAGCGAACCGCCGAGAATGGAGACCAGTACCCAATTAGCCGCTTGGCCCTTTAGTGGTGCTATCACCCCCCACCCCCTCCCGGCAGCCGTCGACCCCTTTCGGGCCTTGGGTGCGTCCAGAATCGAACGATGGTTGCCGCAACCTGCAGGGGATGCGAACGCTGTTGGGAGTTGAAGCGGAGAAGAAAAAAAGGGTTCTAGCATCCAGTAAGGGTGAGACGCTGCGATGCGACGGACAAAAGGAACTGCGCTTGAACTGGATGGGGAACGCACAAGAATAAGAAAACGCGGAGAAAGACGGGGAAGAGAAAGCGCGCCGGGTCGGCGGATGTCTGTGGGGACGTTCCCTTGGTAGAGACCAATTTACTCGGCCCTGCAGTGTTACTTGTCGACGATTTGTTGAGACACGCAGGCGGCTTGATCGTTTGCTCTCCTTTTCGACGCTTTATCCGGGTGTCGGAACGATGGTGCAAGGGTGGCTGACGGGCGGATCGATACTTGCGAGAATGATGCCTACACTATCGAGAGCAGACAACGGGATCATCTCTGTCAGGCTCAGGCGGGACGATGCCTTGCTTGTCCTCCCCCTACCCTCGACTTCGATTCCACCCGAACACGCCGCCAATGAAAAAAGTGCACTAAAAACTGATCGAGACTTGCCGCGTGGAAGCCATGTGCGCGCTGTGCCGCGACTGGAGCACCCATCCGACGGAACCAGCGCCAGTTTTTTAGTTTTTTTTTCTGGTTTTTTTTCTTCTTTTTTTCGTCTGCGCGCTAGTCCCGAGCCAAGGCGGGATTTGCTATTCCGTGGCGTTTTTTTGTCACCACCACCACCACTAACCAAGGTGGCGTCACGGCCAGCCAAGAAAGAGAGGGGGAAAATCGCGGCCGGAAGCGATCCCGTTCTGGGCATTCTGGGCGTGGGACAAGATCATATTTTCTTCTTCTGTTTCTCTCCTCTGCTCTGCTTTGCTTCTAGCTTATGCTTATTGTCGCAAAACTGCCAGGTACACAGCTACCGTAAAACAAAAACAAAGTCCGCACAGGCGTACAAGATGGAAGTCGTCTGGAATGGGCAAATGGGCCGCGGCATGGTCGCACACGAGGGCTTGCGAGGGCGAGGGAGGAGGGCCGGGTCCCGGAAAAATGGCTGCGCAGCTGCGGCCACCCGCAATATTGATTGCCTCTGTGCTCCAGGAAGAGAGGCCGTCCCCTTTTTTTCGCCCTCCTTTGCTTCTGCACCAACAATGGCAACAAAAAAATGCTGGAAATCATGTGCGACACTGGTACATGTAATACATCGGTCATTGCAATCGTATGAAAGGTGCCACCAAACAAGTTGAGGCAGGTCTAAAAGGGCACAGGGCGATCATGGTAGGAACACAAGCTTTGCTCATGTACAACTGTGTTGAAAACGGGGAAGTGGTAGGGTTCCCAACTGGAGTATACACTAAAAATCCCCCCCTGGGTCCGCGCTCTCCATGGGCGCGGAACAAAACATGACAACGCAAAAGCCCAAAAAAAAGGTAACAGCAAACAAACCCGACTACAGGGTGTAGACAAAGTCGGGCCGCCTGTCGCCCCTGACCCACTTCTGCTCGTCGTCGAGGGCGTCCCACTCGGCGTTGAGCTTGCCGGCGGCGCGGTCGGCGTTCATCTTGCGGAGGGCGACGTGCATGAAGATGGAGCCGCCGAGGAGGAAGAGCACCTGGTAGGCCAGCACGACGCCGTGGCCGGTCCAGAAGCGCGGGTTCTCGTAACCCAGATAAATGTTTGACGACACGACGCCGTTGAGGTTTCCCCAGCCAACCACCATGCCCAGCACGACGGCGCGCTTGAGCGAGCCCTCGGTGTTGTTGATGACCCACGATAGCGTGTTGCTGATGGTCGGGTAGATGCCGGCGGCGCCCAGGAAGGTGCCGGCGTACTGCACGCGCGGGTCCTGCGACGCGATGAGCATGACGAAGCCGACGATGCCGATGGTGACGGTGGCCATGTTGCAGTAGCCGCGGTACCGCGTCTTGTCGGCGAAGAAGCCGACGGCGACGGTGAGCAGGGCGGCGACGGCGTAGGGCGGGACCGACAGCAGCTGGGCGTGGGTGCCCGTGTAGCCCATGCCGCGCAGGATGGTGGGCAGGAAGAGCGAGAAGCAGTAGAGCGGGACGAGGCAGCCCATATAGACGACCATGTAGCCGTACGTCTTCCAGTCCTTGACGGCCTCCCACATGTGGCGCTTGTCAAAGTCCTCGGCCGTCCTGCCCTGGCGCGACATGATGAGGCGGCGCTGGACGCGGATGCGGTCGTCCGGGGTCAGGAAGCGCGCCGTCTCGGGCCAGTCGAAGACGAGCCACCAGCAGAAGATGCCGACGAAGACGGTGGCGATGCCCTCGATGATGAAGATCCACGCCCAGCCCGGCACGCCCGCGATGAGGTGCATCTGCGCGATGGCGGCCGCGAGCAGGCCACCGAAGGAGCCGGCCAGGGCGGCGGCCGAAAAGAAGACGGCGGAGCGGACGCCGATCTCGGAGCCCTTGTACCAGCACGAGAGGTAGTAGTTGACGCCGGGGAACAGGCCGGCCTCCGCGACGCCCAGGAAGAAGCGGGCGGCCAGGAGGCCCTCGTAGTTGTGGCATATGCCCATGAGGGTCTGGATGACGCCCCAGACGATGATGATGACGGTAAAGAAGATGCGCGGCGTCAGGCGCTTGAGGAGCGCGTTGGTGGCGGGCTCGCACAGGGCGTAGCTGATGAAGAAAATTGTGAGGGACATGTTGTAGTTGGCGTCGGACATGCTGAGGTCCTTTTGCAGGCCGGCCAGGCGCGCGTTGCCAATGTTGGTCCGGTCAAGGAACGACATGAGGTACAGCAGCGACAGCCAGGGGACGAGGTACAAATCGACCCTCCACATGAGTTTGCGGTCCTGCGGTGGGTGGGTTGCCATGGTAAGCATGAGGTAGAGACAAAAAAAAAAAAAAAAAGGCAAAAAAATAATACTCACGATTTCAGCGCGCTCCTCGTCAGTCTTGCCCGCGTCAGGGTCGGGCAGGGCAGCGAGCAGCTGGGCGCGCTCCGTCTCGAGTGCGGACATGATGGGCGCCTTGGTTTCGTCGGCCGAGATGCGGCCCCGTTCGAGCTCTTTTTTCTCGTCGGAGAAACTCATAGTGACGGCAACGAGAGGAGCAGAATGCAGGTAATGCGATAATATTTAAAGCAGCAAGGCGACGGGATGCCGGGCCGCGATAGGGATATATGCAGCTACAGGATGCTGATCCGATATATAGGGTATTGTGCGCGTGCGTCTATGTGGTGTAGGACGACGGCGGCGGAAGGAGGGGACGTCCCCACGGCCTTGGGTTTAGTGCGTTATGTGGTGCTCCGCCGCGCTGGTGGACGGGCTGTGCCGACGCGCGCCCGAAACGGAAGGCTCGACCTGCCTCAAGGCGAAGCTGGGGGCGCACAGGCACGGAGGGAGGGATGGGGTAAAAACAGGAGAGCAGAAATAAAAGAGGCCCTCGAGCGAAAGAGAGAGGCTGAGATACCGGGCAGAGGCACCGGGGGCGCACAGGCGGAGATGAGGATGGGGAGGAGGAGGAGGAAGGGCGAGGGCGATCGGGGAGGGGAAAACATGTGCGCACAGCCTTCTCATTTGTATTATTTTTTCACCCATCCTCCGCCCTTCGCTCTCGGTCGCCGTCTCCGACCGATCCGGAGATGGGGCGAACGGGAGAGTGGCAGGGAAGTCAGGGGAGAGTGAACTCTGTGGTATTTTCCTTGACCATGGCGGGGAATGACAGGCTGGGGACCCTTGGTTGTGACGCTGGTGGGAAGCACACTCGACCTGCAGCCTGCAGCTCCACCAAAGAAAGAAGACTGCAAAAAAGAAAAGAAAAAAAAAGGCAAGCTACGGCACATGGCATGGCAAAAACCACCACCCATTCCCACCTCCCCATGCATCCATCCCTCCCTCATATCTCCACCCACACTACCCCCCGCGGCCTCGCCGCCGCTGACTGCCTTCCTTGCACGGTCGAAGTAGCAGTAGAGAATGAGGGGGACTTGAAGAAACCCCCGGTCGGCCGAACTTGTCCACGCACCCGGCCCTCCTTCCACACGGGACCTCGAGTCCAGCCACCCCAGCAGCCCTTTTGGGCCCCCCCCCCCATGCGCGGATCAGGCTTTCGAGTATCGACGGCCATCTGCAGACATAATCTCTGCCACGCCCAAATATTGGGTTGCCTACTGCACCGACACTGACGGCGGAATGCCTGGAGAGGGCGACGGGATGGAACGTAGGGCCCCGAGATGATGCAGTCAGTCCAGCGCGTAGCAGAGATTGGCATCAAAGCTGAAATGCTCGGCCACGGGGCCAAGAGCCCGAGCCGAGACCGCCCCGGCCGCCATTTCTTAAACCAGCTACCGAAGGCGGTGGTGGGTAGGTGGGCATGGGGGGAGAGGGGGGAGAGGCGAGATGTTGGGTTCCTTGCTTGGCTTCCCGAGCGCCGTAAGTGGCCCCTAGCTGCCCGCCGTGTAAATCTTTTTCCGCCGTGGTCACCGTCCTTTTCGTGGGGAGTAAGCGACAGTCTCCCATTGGGGCACCGCTGTTGTCCTCAATCATCCCCACAGCGTGCGCACCTGGCTGGCCTCCGTCTCAGAGGAAAGAAAAAGAAAAGTAGGATTGCCATGTGCGCGCCTGGGTCTGCCCCACGGGACGCTCCCTCCCGCCAAGAAACAACTGACTCGCCCTGTCTCCTCTCTTTCCCCGCAACGACACTGATCGAAGGCAGAAAATTTAAGGTCACGGAAGCGCAGACCGAGAGAAGAAAAAAGACAAAGGCACCTCATTTCCTGTAAAACCTTGGCTGGCCTTAGTTGTCAGTTTCCAGCTGTCACACAACAGCCTCGTCAAATTTTTCATGGAATATCCCGCGGATGCCGGCAATTCTCGGTGTTCATGTTTGCTTTTTTCTTCAATATTCTCGGCTGCACCGGCCAGGGTCGAGTAGTAAAATGGCCTCACCCGTCGGCTCGAGGGAAGCGGAGGCGGGCAGGGCGACGCGAACGTGCGCCTTATCAGCAAGCGTGCAGTTTTGGGGCAGAGGGCGCAACACCCACGCGGGCTAGAACCCGACGGCGTGGTGGGGTTTGCCGGTTCTCGTCTGCATTAGCGCCGGCATGCTTTGCCCTCGAAGTTCTCCAAACCCACCTGCTTGGTTCATCCGGTTCGAACCCCCGACTCGAGGGCAAAGGGAGGCACCAAAAAAAAAAAAAGAAAAGCTGCTTGCTACAAGGAGGCCGCCGCCAGCAGGGTGGAGTGGGCAAGATGCCACCGCAGTTGCCCCGGCTTGTCGTGGGGAAAAGGTGGACATGGGTGTGTTGGGATACGGGGTGGCCTCGTGCGGGGAAAGTTGGGGGAGATGGACTGGAGGCGAGGGGAAACAAGGTTGGGCCACGCATGGTGCCTCGTCGCCGTAACGCTCACCGTTCTGACAAATGGAGGGAGAAACAAAGAAGAAATGCCCAGAACCATTCTCAGCTCCTGTCAAGGGAGCTGGCCCCAACCTACCTGGCCGACCGCCTTTCTGCTCTCGCCCGCCCAATGTAAGCTTATCGCCCAGCCGGGCATCGACACGGCGCCCACATGGTCCAAGCTCTGTCACCGACAGGGGGTGGGTGCACTTTCACCGTGCTTCCTCCACATGCCCTCGAGTCAATTAGGATGTTGGCTCTTGGCACAGCATCATGGTGAAATCAGCAGACCGGACAGGACTCGACAAAGTCTCCACCAAGCCTGCCATTGGTTTCCTTCTTTCCAGCCAGCTGGCGGCGCCCCTGCTCTGTCGCTCCCCGCCTTGTGGGGGAGTTTGTGACGTTTATTAATCTCGCCCGGTTGCCAACATCCGTCACCCAGTCAAGACCGAGGGCGCGGTTTCGCAGTCCGCAGGCTTCTCCAGCGACATTTATTAATAAAAGGGAAGAATAGAAACGGCGTGGCTTTGGGTACTTTTGGTAGAAGCGACGTTTCGAGGATGCAGGTCAGCCTGGGCAGCCGGGACCTTCAGACTTGGCGAAACCAACAAAGACACGAGCAAAAAAGAAGCTCAAGAGGCCGCCCAGCGTCGGCACGCGAGTCTTGGGAATCCGTGGCGCAAAACCTAAATTAGACAGTACCCCGTGGGCTGTAGATGGCTTCTGGCTTCTGGCCTCTGGGTGAGTGGGTGGGCTTTCGTGGAATTCCTACCGGGCTATTTCCGCTCTTTTTGAGTTGTGCACGACCACACCACACCATGTAGCGTGTCATGACCCTCATTTATTGGGGATTGGTTCGTGGTACGGTCAGGGACATGATCAGATCTCTCGGTGCTGCGATTTCGGCCAGGTATCTCTTGACCAGGCTGGCGAGTCTTGCAGCCGCCCACCGTACCAGCGGATAAGGGAGCGCATAGAGGTATCTAAGAGCCTGTCTAGATACCTGGGCAGCTAGCAAATCCCTGGTTCGAGAATAATATCAAGACTTGTAGATCCCGCCCCAACTAGGCAACATCGACCTTGGAGGGGACGGGTCCCGGGCCAGAAGCCAGCGGCGAATGCCAGTGCCACAAGCATCCAGCCAAGGGCCTACAAAATGACAAAACCACTCGTGGCACACGGGAAAGCACCCAACCAAATCCATCCCATCTTCCCACCTACATACAGTACACCCATCGTCCCATCCTCGCACGCGGCCGGGTAGCCGCCCGCCTGCCTCTCACATGGCGTCCCGTCGCACGACGAGATTGCACGTCCCGGGGAGGTGCAGCAAAGCTGAGCCCCCCCTTCCCACGCCCAGAAATAGGGTTGATTACCGGGAGAAGGGACGGGGGTCTCATGTCACCCACCCACGGTTGCAGTCTGCTCCCCCTGGCCCGAACTACCCGGGAGGAGGAAAGATCAAAATGCCACGTGGGCCAGAGTGCGAACCCTCCCGGGCCCCAAAAACTGACAGGTAGACATGTAGCTCCGCTCTGTGGGAAGGGGCCGGATGGGGGAGGGGTGTCCCTCCCCTGCCTGGGGAAATCTTGCGGGACTGCTCCGCGACCGAGGGAGGTTTTGGGGGAATGATGGAGGAGGAAGAGGAGGAGTTGCAGATGGAGGCCAAACCCCGCATGGAGACAGGATGCGGCTGCCGGGTGGATCGACACTCCTCGCTGGGTGAGAGGAATGGAGAGCAAACCGGGGTGGTGATGACGATGGGTCCTTGTGTGTGTGTGAATCTTTACAGGGGGAAAAAAAAATAGGTAGATTGGATAGATAAACAAGCAGCGGCTCAAACCCCCATCGACTCATCCAAAACTCACTTCGACCGCCCCCATGCTGCGACATCCCGAGTCTCCCGTTCCGAGTCCTATCGTCGGCTTCGACCCACCGTTTTTCAGCCGCTGCTGCTGCTGCACGCGTGTGTGCGCAGCATCACACCCCGAGATTGGGGGGCACCGGAGCGGGCGCCCGCAAACCTCGTGTCTAGCCCTGCCACGACGCTGCATGGTTCCCCCCGGTCCTCCTGGAAGGGGAAGGAAGGAAAAAAAAAAAAAAAAAAGAAGGGCTGCTGCGCGACCGTTACACGCCAGTCCGTTTTTCCTTGTCCTTTATTGCGCCGTGAGGTTCGCGTCCCTCGCACAGCAGCGGGCATGTCGGCTGACTGATCCTTTGGGGAGAAAGTGGGTTGGGTGAACGGTGGGACGGCGGCAAAGACGGGAAGAGGGATTGGCAGACGGGTAACCATCGAGGGATATATGTATGTGGATGCAAGACTCTTTCCACTGGTATGGTGGGAGTCGATTGTTTTTGTTCGTATTGACATTTTTACATAAAGTCATGTGTGCAAGCTAGTCTTTGCAGCCGCACGTCATGATGGTAATAAACATGCCCAAAGGCCGCTTTCATGCTCAAGATGATGAGAGAGAGAGAGAAAAAAAAACAGGTCCCAAGCAACAAGGGACGCGTACCACCCAAACCCCAGGCTCCAGAGACCGCAAACCGAAACCGAACCAATCAGCGACCCGGCCAGACGGGACAAGGGTTCCGGGCCAAGCTTCCTCGTCGGGCGCGTCGGGACGCCGTCCCGAGGCTTTATGATTAGGAGAAAAACATTTGACAAAAGTACGAACAGAATGGGGTATATAAATGTGTGGCTTAAGAAAAGACGGCAAAAGGTCATGGGCGGAAGGCTCAAATCCGGCGACGTGAATAGAAACAAGAAACTGGGATGTATAGTGTCAGGTGGTGGTCGGCGGGCAGCCGAAAGCGGCAGTCAAATCGAGACTTGTCACGGTTTGACTTGGCAGGGCCTGGTCACGCGTGCGCCGAACCCCGACACAAAGATGGAGGGAAAAAAAAGAGGGGAGGAGGACAGCAGGCTCAGCTGCTCGTGTCTCGCCTCACGTACTCCCTCCTGGCGGCCTTGGCGGCGATGTCGTAGCCGGCACGGGTGCCGAGGCGGTGGCCGACGAACCAAGCCAGGGTGACGAGCAGCGGCACGCCGATGCCGATGCCGGCGCCGACGCCGATCTGCCAGTTGCGCTGCTGCTGGCCGTAGAGGGTGGCGTCGTAGGCCTGGACGTTGCGGACGAACTGCTCGGTCCAGCGCGAGTGCACGAGGAACTGGTCCGACACGGACCTGTTGGCGCCACCGAGGGTGGCGCGGCCAACGGTGGCCGAGGGCGCCGTGAGGCTGACGCTGGGCGGCGCGCCGTCGCCGTTGGCGCCGGGCTGGCTGATGCGGATGTGGTTGCTGGCGTCGTGCGTCGACGCTATGGCCTCCCACGTCGACATGTTGGGCGCCTGCGACGTCGGGAAGGTGCCCAGGATGGCGAGCGGGTCGAACGTGTATGACGAGCCAGTCGTGTCTGTTGGCGTCATTGTCAGCGGCCGTTGACGCATCTCGTGAATCACGTGAGGGTCTTGTTCTATGCTCGTCGTCGTCCGGCCACCTCCCACCGCCCAAGAGCCAAGAAGTCTTGCGCTCTGGGCTTTTGCCCACTTGGGCCACCGAAAAGCCAAAATGCATGGGATTTGCAGAATGGGGAAATATTGGAGGGCGGGGCAAAAGCAGCGCAGGGTCTGTGGAGACAAATCTGCTGGGCCGCCCGTTTGGGAGAGGCTTGCTGCCGCACCCAGGGAATTCGACACGAGATATGCCCCAGAGACAAGAAAAAAATAAGAGACTTACTTGTGCTCCACTTAACCTCCAGCTCCCCCCCACCGTGGTCGTCGCGGTGGTCGCCCGCCTGCACCAGGTTGCTAGAAAAGAGCCACTCGATGAGGACGGGCACGCCGGGCTTGGCCTGCTTCCACGTGATGTCGTACTTGCTTCCGTGGTAGAGCATGGCGTAGGGCACCGTGTCGGAGCCCGGGAAGAAGGCGTCGATGTCGTCCGGGTAGGAGCAGCCCTTTTTGGACTGCGGGTCGCGCGTGCACCAGCGAAACGACGTCAGGCAGATGGTGTTGGGCGACGCGCACTCGGCGTCCTTGACGGCGTCGAAGGTGCCGGCCGACACCAGGCCCGTGCGCGACGAGGACATGATGAGGAAGCCCGTCACCAGCAACCTCAGGACGAGCGGCAGCGGGCCCGGCGAGATTGTTCTAGAGGTTGTTCTGGAGGTTGTGGTGGACAAAAGTGGTGATGATGTTGGCGGGCTTAGTAACCGCATTGTTTCCGACTCTTTCGGCGTCGCGGTCGGGCACCGCGGGAATTTGGGCTGTGTCATTTATGCAGCGTCGAGCTTTGCTGCCCGTCGTTTTCGCTGCCGTGCGCTTGCGCTTGCGCGTGCGGGCGAGCAGAGAGTAGCAGCGGGATTGACAGCGACCGGGCCGGCAGGCACTTTGTCACTTTGGATGCGGCGGCCGATGTTTCTGCTTCAGCCGGCTTGATTGCGATGCCGATGGCAAGGGTTGGCTGGCGCAGCGGGCAATCAGGACAAAAGGCAAAAAAAAATGCAGAAAATCAAGCAGAGACGGCAGATAGATGGGACCGAGAAAAAGGGGATTCAGAAGGGGGGAAGCTGGGGCATTTGCGATTGTTAAAAAAAGAAGCTCTTTCCTGATGTCCTACGGCCAGAAGCATGAGTGGTCTGCCAAGCACTCCCAAGCATCGGCAGGCGCATCAGGAAGGGTAAAACGCTCTTGGGTCCCTGTTTGTAAAGTTCGACGTGGGCCGCGCCGTATCAAAAAACTTAGCGGGCGCGGCGCATTGGCGACGAGACCAACCAAGCAACCCATCGGACGAGAGAGAGACAAAAATTGGGAAAAAGAAAAAAACCGAGAAAGGGGATCAGGAAAACCGCGCGTCGGGGCGGACGGACGACTTGGCAATTAAGCCTTGGCTGCCCCGTCCGGTGCAAGGGGACTGGAGCTGCGAAAAGACAAGACGTTCCTCCCATTCCTTCCACTCCCATCTCTCGGGGACTTCATTTGTTTCTTCGCGTCCCCAGCCCGTCGGGAGCGCAGAGGTAATACATCGCAACACCAGTGCACTTGCTGCTCGCCGTCGGAGCTGGCATGCCTGCCGATCTCGGCTGAGGTAGGACGGCACAGCACAAGAAAAAAAAGGGAGCGGATGGGGGGGCCAGTCGCCAAAGTACAGCACTAACACCCAAGCCTTGGCGACGGGCCAAACACAGCAGGCTGCTGGCGCCGCCCAGAAGGCCTGGGGCTGCTTGGCAGAAAGTAACAGGGCGGAGGGCAGAGAGCAAAGGGGGAAAAAAGCACGCAGACGAGCCCAAAGCTGCCAAGCCACACGTTCTTGGCGCGGCTGGTGCTTGCTGGCCTTCGGCGCCCAGCACGCCAGCAGCTTCCAAGACCGCTCAGACGGTCACCAAGGGCCTCGGCGGCCCCGCTGTGGACGCTTGGATGGGGTGCTTTCAGTGGAATGCCAAGGCTGCGCGGGTTTCGTGTCGCAGGGGGCGCCTGTGTCATCATTCACAATTCCCCGAACGAGGGTGGAGTAAAAAGAAGGGGGAGGCAACGAGGGCGATGATGCAAGCCCGATTGCTTCGACATGTCGTCCGTTTCTTCTCCGTCAAACATTTCGCCGCCCTACGGATGGAGCGGCAGTCGAAAGGGGGGCTCGTTCGTTCGTTCCGCAGAGAAGCCGTCACAGTCGAGATGAGCCGACAAGGGCACAAGGAATTCTGGCGCTAGCCCATTGTTTCCCTGCATTTTCACGTGACTGGCTCCTCCTGATTGGAGCAATGCTTCGGCGATCTCTCTGCGCAACGGCTTTACCAAGCGGACCCGTTTCCAGAAATTTGTTGTGACCGTGCGGACATTCCCGTCCGCGCTCGAAAACCAGAACGCGTTTTTGCTGACTGGAGAGGGTTTTTACAGTGGATGAGTGGACGGAGACGAAGCCGTTCCTTTGCGCTGTCATTGAAGCTCGGGCCACTGTTTACTAACAAAAGCTCCCATCTGCTTTTGCTCTTCCACTTCAACCATGAAACATCGCCCTCCTTCACCACCATGTTGTCCTGGGCGTTTATAAAAGAATCGAGGTGCAAAGCATTTGGAGAAGCTCGCTACCTCATAACATCATATCCAAATTATAACAGATGCACGAGATTACGCCCACGAGCTTCCTTGCCCCAGTGGACCTTGTATCGTCACGTGCCACAACAATCTAATAATGGCCCCCGACGGAAACGACGGCGAATCCTACGACATCGTCGATATGTCTGGGGAAGGATCGCATACGTTAATATCTAGCCTCCCGGTCGAGGATGTAAGGTTCCGGCTACGAGGAAAGGGGACAGGAACGAGCACATTGGTTGCTGGATCTTCGGATTCGCATTCCTTCCATTAACCATCAATGTCGTTACAGACAAGCGAGGAGAAGTCCTGAAAATTTTAAACAAAAGCAAGAGGCAATAAAATGGACATAGAGGGAAGAGGTTTGGCCGACATCTGCTGGAAGGGTTGCGCGGACACGTGATTTGGATTGGCAGCAGCAGCCCCTGCATCACTCACCTAGCCACTGAATTGATGGGAAGGCCTGGTCGCCACAGCACAACAACCTGCAACAAAAGGCGGCTTTAGAAAAGGAAATGGCAAATCCCCAGGGTATCGTGTAACTGGTACAGCAAATAAAAAAAATACTGAAAGAAGAGCAAACGAAGGAAAATGAGAAAAGAGAAAACAGTGGGCCCCCGATGTGGCTTCTCAAGCATGTCAACCCTATTCCATGCCCCTTGGCTGTCAAGACTGTGTGAACTTAAAAGCCTCCACTGCGCCGTCGACGTGGCACAGTACCACGAGACCTAGACCGGCGTCTCGGTACCAATATGCCCCCAGTCTTGCCCCAGGTTTGGGCCTTCTGTCAAAGCTGCAGATGGGTTTGCCCTTTCGAGCTGCAGGGGCCCGGCGCTCCCGTCTTGAGGCCTCCCCACGGGGTACTCGTGGACCTGGCCGTCCTTGTCGACCGTCAGCAGGTGGCCGCCGTGGCCGCAAAGCGCCCGGAGCTTGCGGCGAGCCGCGGCGGGCAGCGCCAGCGGCTGCAGGGTCTGGTCCAGTCCCCCGAGCGACGCTGCTCGGCTGCTGGTGCTGCTTCTGATTCTGCTGGTGCTGGTGCTGCCGGTGCTGGTGCTGCCGCCGCCGCCGCCGCCACCGCCCAGGGCGGGTGGGGACGCAAAGAGCTTGGTCAGGTGCTTCGTGGCCACGAAGCATCATGCGCCGCCGCTATCGGGGCAGGCCGTCCTCGCTAAACGCCACATCCTCCAATCCGGGCCGTGGCTGGTCGGGCTTCAACCGCAGCGCCTCTCGTGCGGGGTTGCTGCGGTCAAGGCATTGTCAGTGGTGGCCCGGCTCACCTCCCCTCTGGTGGTAGTGCAACGAGCGTTGGGGGGTGGGGGCGTACTTTACGTCAAAGACCAGCACCTCCCCGGCATGGTCGGGGATCAGCGCGGCGAGGCCTTTAGGAGAGACGGAAACTCTTTTGTCGTAGTCCAAGTGTTGAATGGCCTGAGTGCTACTGCCTATCTCTACCCAGGCTACTTGAGCCAGGAGGTGGTGTGGATGTTGTGGCAGCGGTAATATAAGCAACTACCGCGCCCAGCGCACATCAGGGGCTAGGTGAGCTCTTTTCCCAGCAGTATTATTGACAAAGCAGATGGTCGTACCAGAGGCGATCTTGTCGCTGGTTTCATGAAGCCTGAGAGAATCCCCTTAGGTTTTTCAAATCCGCAAATGGCTATGTGATGCTTCCCCATGGCCAAACCCGTCCATTTCCTCTCGAAGCCCTCTTTTTCTAGCAGCTTGAACGGATATGAGGGGCTATCTAGGGCTTCCGCGACGGCGGAGTCGGGTTGTTGTTGAATACGTCCATCGTCGTTTCGGTCAGGTAAGCAACCCTGAGGCCGTCCATTGACACGGCAATGACTTCAGTGGTGACCGGCTCTTCCAACATTTTGGAGGATTGCCGATAGCACCCGGTCACCGAATGAACGGGGAGCAGACGAACTCGAAGCCGCGATGCTGGACGTCTCCGATCTGTCCGAGTGTTGGGCTGGTCGTGGCTGTGGCTGCGGCTCGGGTTCTGCCCGTACTGACGGGTTCCGACTTTGAGGAGGGTACGACGGCTGCGGTGTGTTGGGCAAGCCCTGGCTTGAGTTGAGAGCCTGTTCAGACGGAGGAGATACCGGGACAGCGGGTTGGGCGGGAGACTGATGAGAGGGATTTGCTGGCGGTGGAGTAAAAAGCACCCGATTTACATACTGAGCGAGCTGTTCGGCGCTAGGTCTTGCGTGGGGGTCTACCACGAGAGTGTCTTCAATGCACTCTACCCATGGGGCAGAAGCCGGGCACCGGCCCTTGACCTGTTCCAGCCACTGTCCCACAGCTGGCCGAAGACGGGGTGAACCGGGAGGCATCGGATCCCAAAAGTCATCGTTGCTGAAGCCCTGGTCCCCAATCAGGTTTGTGCTTTTACGCATCAGCTCAAAATTCTTGACCCCATTCTTGCCACCCTCAGCAAAGGCAAGCACCTCGGCTAGGATGACTCCAAAGGACCAAATGTCCCCCTTGCGACCGACATGCACCCACTGCTCCTTCGGTAGCCTCCTGCTCATCCACGAGCGTTCGATCTCGGGCGCCTGGTGCGTGCCGAGTCCGCGGCGAGCCAACGTGCCAATCGTACGGTTCCAGTCATAGCCCTCAAAGCCATTTCCTGTCGCGTCCAATGCATGAACCAGAGAACGTGAGTGAATTGCAGAAATACCGAAGTCGGCCAGCTTCCACCAACCGACGTGGTGGCCTTGGCGAGACGATATAAGAATATTGTCGGGTTTGATGTCCATATGAGCAACCAGGTAAACTTGACCACTTTCCTCAATGTTGCTGTGCAGAAAGCGTAAAGCCTTAGCAAGAGCAATGCATTGTGGCAGGAGGAGCTCGGACGCTCGTCTAAATCGGGCCGTGTCGTGTGGTGGTGTCGGTAGAGGGGGGAAATGGGGAAACCGTTCGTCGAAGGTTCGGGATCTGAAAAGACCGTTAACGTCACCGAGGGCGCTCGAGCTATCTAAAAACTGTAGGAGGTTGCCCAGGTCCGCGAAAGGGAAGATAATCAGCGGCGTCGGGAGATCCTCTGTCTCTCGACCTTCGGTGTGCTGCACAATGGTGTGATGAAGAGTTATCCGATGTTGACCCAGAGGGTTGCTCGCAATTCGCTTGAGAAGTTTGAGATTTTCGAGTTCTCGTTTTGCTAGCTCCTTCTCGTGGAACACCTTGACAGCTACGGGGCGTGACTTTAATGGCCTGGATACTTCGCTGTCGTGGTCGGAATATACCTCGGCGTACTCGGGGATTATGCGACAGAGGTATACTGTTCCATATGACCCGACCTCCCTTGGAGCGCGGCCGCTTTGCGTCTCAAGAGGCAGGGCGTCCCTTGTTTGAACTTCAAGTACGGATTCGGCATGGGCCCCAAGTTTGAGTGTGACGCGAGGGGCGAAGTGGAGGTGTAGATTGAAATCTTCTGTGCTGAGCTTTTCCCCCAGGAGGGTGTTCAGGTCGCTACTGGAAAGAGGAAATTGGATGTCGGTCTCTGTTCTTAGCCATCCATTGCTGGTAAATACCAAGCGAGGGAAGGTCTCGAGGAACCAGTCGAGGGACCGGCGGATGGAGGCGGCGAAGGAGAGGAGAGGAAGGGCTTTGGAACGCAGATGGGTCAGTTGGAACCCTCCGAGGCCGTTACCGCCGAGGGGCGGCCTGGCGACGGCGAAGAGGAAGCGGATTCGGTCGTCAATCCAAATGCGTTGCATGTCCAAGTCGGGAACGAATGAGCCAGCGAAGTCGGGCAACTTGTAGGACTTGACGCAAGATCCAAGCTCGTCTTTGATCTCGTCGACCAGTTTTTGGAGGTTGCGTTCCATTACCCTACTTTCTGTTGGCCAAGTTCAGTCTCGGGAAAAATCTAGCTAGTCCTTCGTGTATTTCGGGAGAAAAAGGCGAGATTTTGCCGTTGAGGCGGCAGAACATACTGGTAGATGAACTTGCTTCCGTGGTCGCGGTATCTTGCAAGAGCACAGACATGGTGGCCTCGCGTGAAGATTGCGATGTCTAGTGTTGAGTTGGAGTTGAGAGGCAAGCAGCCAAGACCCTGTCTCTTCTTTGAGCGAACAGTAAAGATAGGGAGACGCGACGGGCCGGATCGCTGGGACGCAAAAGTCTCGTGGTGCTTTTAGGCGGCACCAGCTATTGGCCAACCGCGGATTCGGGCTGAGCTTTACGAATGTGGCTGGATTTTCAATGGCGCTTCCTCCCTGTCTGCGGGCTGCCACGCTGGCTTCGTGTTAGGTTGAAGCGCTCAGGCAACCATGCAGACAGACAGACGATGGACTCGCGCGCCCGGCCGACAAAGGGTTGGCGTATGCTTCGGCAAAGAACTGCTCCCAATCCAGACTGAGCATCATACAACTAGATTGATTGCGAGGGCGGTTTTGCTGTCTCGAAAGCCCAGACAAATGGCCATGATCCCCTTCCAATGCCACCTTCTGAAATGCCGGGGCGGCCTATTTCAATATCTGGGAGGGCGATACCTCTACTTGCCTCTTTTCTCCCCGTGATCCATACCTGCGTCTGACAGCCATGGCGATGGCCACGCAGCTCCCGCAGCCCAGACACCGGGGCCAGGTGCAGCAGCCAACCCGACACCCGGAGCTGGCGCTGCCTGACTTCCCCATGTTTGCTTGCGCCACGGCTTGGCAAACCACGAGTGCAGTCAGCCTAGCGGTGTGACTGGCGCCACTGGCGGCTATTCTACGTTCTGTCAACTAACGAGAATGCAGCTGCAGGAACTAGCGGCAGCCTGCCTACCTAGTCTAACATACTTGCCCGCAGTGTCCGCCTATTGCCCGGGCCCTGTTTCGGTGGCCAAGTGCCCGGGTTCCACCGGGAGTCCAAGCCTCCTTTCTAGCGCGCCAGCATCGCTTTCTTCGAGCACACGTTATTTTGGCCACAATGGACTGGGCTGGGCTGGGGCTCTGGTCCATCAGATAGCCTGTGCGGCTCACTCAGCAGATGCTGCCTTGCATCGATCCCAGGAGCACTTCCCTCACGAGCCTGAGGGCAGTCTCGCAGCTGACCCACTGGATCATATACGTCTTCTACATCCTATGCACACTGGGCATCATCCTGACGGTCGACTGGCAAGACCCAGCCCTGCCCCGGACCTACGACCCCGCCGTCGGGGCCCCGCCCGGCTGCGGAAACCCGCGGACGCGCAGCGCCGTCGTCATCGGCATGGCGCAGGGCCTGCACGCCTTTGGGCGGGACTGGGCTGGCCCGTGCCACCGCAACGACGCGCCGCCGCCGGCCGCCCACGCCGTCAACGGGATCCTGCTATTCGCCACCGTGTCCGCCGCCAACGCGTCGCTGTATGTCGCGAGCCGCACCCTCTACGGGCTCACGTATGGGGAGGACAAGGGGGTGTCGTTTGTCAAGTCTATCAAGCGCTGGCTCCGCCGCCACACGGGCTCCGTCACGGAATACACCGGAGCCCCGACCAAAGCTCTTTTCGTCACCGTGGTAGCGTGGTATTTTCTCATAGGTCTGGATTTCGGAAGAGAAAAGGGGAACCAGGGGGTTACCGACGTAAGTTTTGCTCACCCAGACGTTCGCTTGCGGACCACTTGGATTTTCTTTTCCTGGGAGCGCACCATGCCCATCCTTACTAACACGCAAAGTTCATGTACGTCATTGCGGTATCCCAAAGCGTCTCGGTGCTTCTCGTTTGGGCTGCGCTATGCCTAGCTTATTTGCGGCTCCAATCCTGGTTCGTTCGTCTTCCAGACATAAACCGTATCGCATGCAATGCCGTGTTCCCTGGCTGACATGGCAGCTCGAGCGACGACAAAAACAGGACGAAGAAGTACCAGACTCTCGCCCAGGACGACCCGGATATAAAAGGATGCGTTAGGTCCTCTGGAGAGTATAAAGCTAGAACCTTCCTTTCCGGGCTACAGCCATGGACGGCGTGCTACGCCTTCCTTTCCTGCCTGGCCGTGTTTGTCTTGATCAGCGCCACCATGTGGAAAAGGGGCGCCACAGCGACCAAGTTCATGGCCGCGTACCTGCCAGTGAGCACTTCCCACCATCTTCGTCATTCATGGCAATTGCCGGCAGTGGGGGACCAACGATCGTTGACCAATAAATATAGCACATTCTCCTTGTAATAATCGTCTTCAGCCGCAAGGTATTCCTTTCTAGCAGCCAAGGCTGGTTCAGACTCGGGACGAAGGCGGATCTGCTCAAAAGGCTGCGGCGCCTCACTACACTTTACGATGAAGCCTCAAAGCAGGGGCAACAACCCGCCCCCGATGGCGGCGCCTATGAGATGGGGCACTTGGAACGGCAACGGCCCTCGGACATAAACGGTCAGGAGCAGCAGCGTCCTCAGCCCGAAGTGATCGCGGAGCAGACAAACAGCAGAGCATACGAGTCCCGGGAGCTCAGGACATCTCCGGGCCACAGAATCTAGGAGCCCATGCGATCGGAATGGAGTGGGCGGCCTAAACTGCCATATTCGTTCTGTTAATCCATCTATCTCGCGTCTGACTTCAGCGCGAGTATCGTTTAGAGCTACATCGTAGAGATAGATGATAGTCATAAGCCATAGTAATGAAATCCCAAGCACGGGTTGGTGATATCGCACAGGTCCTCAAAGCGCAGCCTTGCCTCTCGACTCAAACGGAAGCAGCAATACGATGACGCCGGCGGCGAGGAAGAGAGCTCCACTGGTGTAGACAGGAGCTGCTGTCCTCAGGTCGGCAAACATGGCGACGATGGGCTGCGAGGAGTCAAGAAAAGAGTATGTCAGCGCCGCCGGGAGGTCAATACAGTATAGGGAAGAAGAAGAGGGCGGTCATCTCACAGCCATGATGCCAAAAATGCGGTTCGACGTGGCAGCGAGGGCGTTTCCAGTTCCACGTTGCGGTGTGGGGAACAGCTCTGGGGTGTAGCCGTACAAAACGGCATACATGACATTGCTAGCAAAATTGAAGCCGCAGTTCCAGCCCAGGAGAGCGTCGCTCCTGACCGCTGTCGTGCTGCCATAAAGGAAGATGCCCGTCAGTACCGTGCTGATGGACAGGGCGCCCTTGCGGCCGATCCGAGGCACCTCGACCAGCAGACCGCCCAGGAGGGCGCCGGGGACTCCCAAAGCGGCGATGATGAGGCTGTTGCGGTACGTGACGTAGGTGCTACCGTCGCCAAAGTCGGTGCCGCGCGTCTGCTGGATAAAGGGAAGGAAGGCGTTGTACAGCGGATAGGCCAGGCCGATGAGGGCCCAGATGGCCATTATGAGCCCCGTACTGAGGGCAAGGCGTGGCGACGAAAAGAGGACCTTGACATGGTTCGAGTCGAGGTGTTGGATGAGATGGCGCTTGACAGCGGTCGCGGCGCTCGTGTTTGCCACGTAGCCCTCGGGCTCGCAGGCCTTGAGGTGCTCCAAAGTCAGTGGCGTAGTCTTGCCGTTGCGGCGGGCGACCTCGTGCACGACGCGGACAGCCTCCTCGTCGCGGCCGCGGCCCATAAGGTACTTTGGCGACTCATAAATGGTGAAGAGCAGGAAGCGGAAGAGGAACATGAAGAGGGTGAGACCACCCATGGTGATGACAAAATAGCGCCAGCCCATATTCTGCTCCTTGGAGCAGGCAACTCCATCCACCTGCTTGGCCTGGCAGGTCAAACTTCCTAGAAGCGGCCAGGCAATGAGTGTGGCGATGACTTGGGCGATTGCCCAGTCGACCGACAGGACGGTCAGGAGGTACTGGTGGGTACCCGGCAGGAACTCGAGAAATATGGCCGAATCGACGGGAAGATTACCGCCAACGCCGAAAGACCACAGTGCTGCAAAGGAGCCGATGGCGGCAAAGTTGGGGGCGCCCGCGGCGATCATGCCCCAGAAGGCAGTCAGGCCGAGGGTCAGGTTGAAGGCCAGCTTGCGACCAAAGACATCGCAGCCGAATCCCCACTGGCGTCCTGGTGTCAGAGCCGTCGAGAAACGTGATGTTTGCCGGAGCGTTGACTGCCCAAGCTAGACTTACAAAGACGGCACCGGCCAGGAGGCCAATATTCTGTGCCAGCGAGAGCAGAGGCGGACGGCTCGGGCCGAACTCGAAGACGATTGGGGTGAAGATGAGAGATGTGACAATGGGCCACAAGTTGTCGCTGGCCCAGCCGAAACCTACAACGATGAACAGCTGCCACTGGTACCATCCCATGCCAATATCTTGGATCTAGGACGCAGCTAGTGTATTAATAAGTAGATTGGAGGCAACCCCTTTCTTCAGCTGCGCGAGAGCGGGACGCACTGCTCGATTGAGGACCCGGGCCTTGGCCTCGTAGACAGGATCCAGCGCTCCCTTGGGGATGATGGCGATGTCGTTGGCGCCCAGGGCGGCCTCGCTCGGCGCCGGCGAGGTGTCGGCGACCTTTCCCTGCTTCTCGGGATCCTCAGCTGAAGCCATTTTGGGCTGGTACAGCTTGGGTGGGGAAACAAGAGGTCGAATATGCAACCGAGATGCAGTGAAATGTGGGAGATGTCCGGGCAGGTGATGGCAGATGGTCCAGATTGAGAGGAGCTCAAACGTGGCGGCCTGCACGTAAATAAGAATGCATCCAAGCGCATCTCATCTATTTGCGTCGTACTTGCACCAGATGGCGTAATCTGGTTGCACTGCCGCTGATTGGATTCACCCACGCCTTGTGCGTAGGTACCTTGTGCATACCTAGGTACCTACCTAGGTTCATGGTGGCGTGAGAGTCGGGCCTCCTGTTTTTTTTTGTCCTTGAGGCGCCTGCAGCATTTGCTGAGATCTTGGCTGGGCTTGCCGTCAGTGTACATGTCGTCATTGGACACGAGGTGGGCTGCGACAGAAGGCGCGATCCAACGAGAAGCAACCAGCGCTCGTTGGCCTTGGGTTCCTTCTTGGGTTCCTTCCAATTGGGATGCGAACGCGAGGGGGTGAACTGTCAACCTGTAAGCAGGTGCATCCCATCTAGAGCTACGATGCAAATGGCAGTCGACATCTCCCGACGTTGACCCAGCACATCACCAAGCACATGCGCCCACCCAGCACGTGTGCCGCATGCAGAATCTGGGGCTTGCGTGGTTTTTGGTCAGTCGGGGTATGTGGGATTGGATCCGCAACGTTACCATTTCGCTCACCGCTCCGTCGATACTCTGCAGGTGATGGCGGCGACAGGTAACGCAGGGCGGACAGCATTTGCATCGGCATGGGGGCCTCATCGACCCCGCTCGCCTCGCTAAGGCGATATCGGCAAATGGGAGGGGTTGACAAATGGTGGATAAAAGCCCCCCTCGCTGCCCGCCACTTCTCGACTTCCACAGACGTCCCCGAGCACCATCGCACCATCGCACAACGCCCGGCAGACTGCGCAACAGATGTTGTGCAATCTCCGGGGCGCCCTTGCTGCGCGCCTGCTGCTGCTGCTGGCCCTCCTCCTGGCCGCGCTATGCCCCGCCGCTGCGAAGCGTAAAAACCTCATCATCGACACGGACATCTTCAGCGACTGCGATGACGCTGGCGCGCTCCTCCTAGCCGCAACGTCGCCCAACGTGACGCTGCTCGGCCTCAACGTCAACGTGCGCTCCTCCTACTCGGCCCTCGCCGCCTCGGCCATCCTCGCCCACTACGGCCAGGGCCACGTCCCCATCGGCGCCCGCCGGCCCCTGAATGGCGACACCTTTGTCGACAAGTTCTTCTGGTCCCTCGGCGAGTTCACCAGCAAGGTCGCCTACCACTGGCGCAGCGACGCCGCCCTGCTCCCCTGGGACGGCGCCGCCGAGCAGTCCGAGGACCCAGTGGCGCTGTACCGCCGCCTGCTCGCCGCCGCCGACGACGGCAGCGTGACGGTGGCCTCGGTCGGCTTCCTCGCCAACCTGTCGGCCCTGCTCAACTCGACGGCCGCCGACGGTCACTCGCCCCTCGCCGGGCCCGAGCTCGTCGCCGCAAAGGTGGCCGAGCTCGTCGTCATGGGTGGCCAGTACCCGTCCGGCCGCGAGTTCAACTTTTTTGGTGACGACCCCTCCCACACCGCCCACGTAGTGCGCGCGTGGCCGGGTCGCATCGTCTACTCGGGCGCCGAGCTCGGCGGCGCCGTCTTCTCGGGCGGGCCGCTGATGGAGCGCGGCCCGGCCTCGGACCCCGTCGGCGCCGCCTACCGCTACTACACGTACGGCAAGCCGAGGCAGTCGTGGGACCCCCTGACGGTCCTTTATGCGACTGGCGGGCTGGGCGACACGTTCGAGTACGGGGCCGAGAGCGGCTTCAACCGCGTCAACGCCACTGACGGCTCCAACGAGTGGGTCGCGGACGCTTCCGTCACAACGCAGCGCTGGCTCAAGCTCAAAGTCAGCAACGTCACTGCTGCTGCCACGCTGGACCGCTTGTATCTGGACGCCGCCGAGCGCTGGGCAACGCCCGCGTCGCCTTCTGTGACCAGCCGTCGACGTGCTCTGCTGCCTTCTGGTGAGAAGGGAGAGCTGTGAGACTGAAACCAAGGCTGGAAGGTCAGTCCTCTTGGCAAGCCACCAACGCTTGGTCAAGGGCAGGAGATCCCCCTACCTCCTACTCCACTTTTTTCTTTGTTTTTATGATGGATGATGGAATGATGCCACCAAGGGGAAAAGATTCCCCTCCGTACAACCCTCTCTTTTGTTTGATGAATAATGTTGTCAAGGGAAGCTATCCCTGCTACAAACTCTTCTTTGTTGGATATAGATCTGTTTAGCAATTCACTAGTCTGATGAATCTATGTGCGCGCTGGCAACTAGGCCATTCGCTGTGCCTCGGTGAGACTGAAGCGAGGAATCCGGAAGGAGCACCATGTGATGTGAGGAGGGCAGGACAAGGTCCGGAAAGGCATTAAAGGAGTAGCCGCGTCTCGAAGGGAGATGGCAAAGACACCAGGGGAGACAGGCTCGGCCACTTCAGAATTCGAAAAGGAATTGGCAGCAGCAGGTCACCCACACAAAAACTGGTTCACGGGGGTGAGTGTATTTTCAATCAGTCTTTTCGTTGTCTTCTGTCTGGCTGTGACTGTGTTGGGTACCTACTTTCAACAAGCAAGCAAAGAGAAATCCCACTACCTGGAAACGGGGCTGGTGAACCCAAGCCATAAAAAAGAAAAAAAAGACACTTCTACGTTGGCGTGTCCAAACCGCGGTAGCAAGAAATACAAAGAATTGTGAGAGAAAAGACACGGGCGGCGGCGACACAAAATTGGTAGTTTGCAAAGTACATGCGAGGGAGCGGCGATGCATCGTCGACGGCAGCGGGTTCAAGAATATTTGGGGGTGCGAATCCCTTTCGTTGTAGCAGGCAGGTAGGTCTTGTGTCTTTCCTCCCCTCACCCTTCGTCTTTGTTCCTTCCACCTCTAGCTTTGCAGCATTTGTGGTTGTCGTATCCTTTTGACACCAGAAACACCGACAAGAGGCCAAAAGATCCCCGACGAAGAAATGAGAACAGCAAATAAGGAGAGAGACCAGTTATAGCCAGTGTGTGTGTGTGTGTGTGTGTGTGTGTGTGTGTGAGAGAGTGAAAGTTTTGTTCCTTTCCCTATAAGAACAAATTTCCGGTTGTTTTCCCTATCCTTTTTGTGCCCAAACCACCGCCCCCTTTCAAAATGAGTTCAAGACAGAAGACATGATGACATATGTGAGATAGAAATAAGAAGTGTAAAGAGACAAGGCCACCAGTTCAGAGCCTGAGTCTGAGGAAGGCGAGTGAGTCAAAAAGAAAAAAGACAAGAGAAAAAGCAAGCTTGCCTTTTCCATCTCCGTTGTATACCTAGATCCACGGCCAAACAATCGCCAAGACGCCAGCCAAAGAAGGGGGGAGGTCATCCAGATTTTTAGGCCGTGAGCAAAAATGAGGCGAGACATGCCCGGTTGCCTCCAGCGCGAGGGGGCGGATGCGGGGTTTCTTGGTGTTGT